ATATCTAAAAATAGTATTTGAAATTTCATTAAAAAATTATTTTTTTGTAAATTATGTTTATACAAATGTGAATCATCTTACAAAAAAAATTTTGTAAAAATATAAGTCTTTGTTCTTTATAAGATATTAACATCATAAATTCAATATTTTTTTTGATATTCCGAATAACACAAAATTTACACATATGCATTTTTATTATTTCAATTAATTGGTCATAATGTTATTTTACTGAAATTTCCAAAAATGATTTTCAATAATTATATTTTGTATACAGCCTGAAAGGAAAAATATTCAAATCATTTTTTCTAGTAACTTCTTGGACAACCTTTGTAAAAAGGAAAAACTATAACAATAACTCTAGGTTTTGAGATTCAATTTTGTGCACATACCTTAAGCAAAGAAATATTATTTATCATAAAAATGTTTGTACAGGAAATAACCTAATAAAATCCCTATAAAAACTGACTTAATCATACCATTTTATAAAATACTGCAAGAACGCATCTATAAAAAAGCAAGCAATTTCATCATGCAAAAGTATATAAAATTTAACAATTTTATCACATATTTCTGAATGCTTGCAACATAAAATATTCAAAATGGTCTTGTCCATCATTCAATCCTAACTAATAATTTATCATTTTTAAGGAAAATTTCAAAATATGCACAGACAGAGCTCGATTAGATTAAAATGGTGCAGACCTCGGTTAGACAACTAATATTGGTCTTGTCCATCATTCAATCCGAACTAATAATTCATAATTTTTAAGGAAAATTTCAAAATATGCACAGACAGAGCTCGATTAGATTAAAATGGTGCAGACCTCGATTAGACAACTAATATTGGTCTGCACTCGTGACTTGATTTCCACCAGCAAAAGGATTTATAAATTTGCATAAAAAACAAAAATTAAGAAAAAGCTAAAAGTTCATAATTTATATCAGCTGCTTAAGATTACGGAAACAACATGATTTTACCGTTTACTTCTATAAATATATTTCAATAGATATAGATTTATACCCAATTATATTATAAATCTATCTGATATACATGTATATGTGCTTGCATATAGAGTTAATTAACTTTTTGTACTATGTAACATGATTCATTCTACAAAATCTGATCTATATAAGTTAAGGCACATTAGCATTTAAACAATGAAAAGTATAATAAACAATGTACAGTATACAACAATTGTAGTTCAGTAAGAAATCATGGGTATCACATCAATAAAATAAACTAGAATCACACAAATTATCTGCCTTCTTTACAATACATTAGGATTGGAAATTTACTTTGGCCGATCTTAACAAAAAATTGTACGCTAAACCACTTGACAAAAATATTAATAATTTGATGTAGTGCTCTGCTCACTAAACAAGTGTCATGATTATTTGTTACATGTAACAACCATTATAAATGAAGAGAAAATCTTATAAACTACCTACTTTTTAATAACTGCATATGAAATGACTGTTTTAATCTGATTTTTGGCCTTGGGTTTTGGATATACAAAAGCATATCTTACTTTTATCACTGATTTGTACCTTTCTATAAAATTTCAATTTTCTAATCCAAAATCTGACCACAAATGGAATTAACAAATCTTTAAAGGGACTCCACTGATGTTATTTAACATGAAGGGCCTGACAACATTTTTTCTGAGATTTGTTTGCCAATTGATTTAGTTCTTATCAAATAACTTGTGCTTATTCTCTCACCCTGTTTTACTAGAACAATCATTTTCATTGTGAAAAATAGCATAAAAAACGCTTTTCTCTCAAAATTCTGCTAATAACCGCATATAAAATCTATTTAAAATCGACTCTATTTCTTTGGTATCCTTTGCACATTATTCCATTTTAAGTGCTTCACATGATATTTGTATGATTTTTAAATTTTATGTTTTTATGCCTTTAGACCTCAGGACCTCAGTAGAGTTCCTTTAAGTTTACAGCAAATATTACTTTTTAATAAAGTTGTGATATAACAAAAATTATCCTATACCTTATGATAAAATTCATAAACAAGAGGGCCATGATGGCCCTAGATCGCTCACCTGATTTATCAAACTCATCCAAACAATTACCTAGACAAGCATTCTGACCAAGTCTCATGACAGGTGAGTCAAAAATGTGACCACTACAGTGTTAACAAGGATTATCCATATTTGAGCAGTGCGACCTAGTTTTTTACCCAGGTGACACATATTCAAACTTGACCTAGAAATCATCAAAACAAACTTTTAGACCAATTTCAAGGATACTTGGATCAAAACAGTAGCAACTAGAGTGTTAACAAGATTTTTCTATTTTTAGCTCCGGTGACCTAGTTCCACATGCGATTTCGAACTCATCCAAGCAATTACCTAGACAAGCATCCTGACCAAGTTTGATGATAATTGAGTCGAAAATGTGACCACTAGAATGTTAACAAGGTTTTTCCATATTTGGGCGGTGTGACCTAGTTTTTTTCATCCAAGATGACCAATGTACGAACTTGACTTAGAAATCATCAAAACAAACTTTCAGACCAATTAACAGAATATTTGGATCACAACAGTAGCCACTAGAGTGTTAACAAGATTTTTCTATTTTTAACTCCGGTGACCTACTTTTTCATCCGAGATGACCCATGTTCAATTTCTTCCCAGCAATGACCTAGACAAGTTTCCTGACCAAGTTTGATGACAATTGAGTCAAAATTGTGACCACTAGAGTGTTAACAAGGTTTTTCTATTTTAACTCCTGTGACCTAGTTTTTCATCCGAGATGACCCATGTTCGAACTCATCCGAGCTATCACCTAGACAAGCATCTTGATCAAGTTTGATGATGATTGATGCAAAAATGTGACCACTAGAGTGTTAACAAGGTTTTTCTATTTTTAGCTCCGGTGACCTACTTTTTCATCCGAGATGACCCATGTTCACACTCATCCGAGCTATCAACTAGATAAGCATCCTGACCAAGTTTGATGATGATTGATGCAAAAATGTGACCGCTAGAGTGTTAACAAGGTTTTTCTATTTTTAGCTCCGGTGACCTACTTTTTTATCCGAGATGACCCATGTTCGAACTCATCCGAGCTATCACCTAGACAAGCATCTTGACCAAGTTTGATGATGATTGATGCAAAAATGTGACCGCTAGAGTGTTAACAAGGTTTTTCTATTTTTAGCTCCGGTGACCTACTTTTTCATCCGAGATGACCCATGTTCGAACTCATCCGAGCTATCAACTAGATAAGCATCCTGACCAAGTTTGATGATGATTGATGCAAAAATGTGACCGCTAGAGTGTTAACAAGGTTTTTCTATTTTTAGCTCCGGTGACCTACTTTTTCATCCGAGATGACCCATGTTCGAACTCATCCGAGCTATCACCTAGACAAGCATCTTGACCAAGTTTGATGATGATTGATGCAAAAATGTGACCACTAGAGTGTTAACAAGGTTTTTCTATTTTTAGCTCCGGTGACCTACTTTTTAATCCGAGATGACCCATGTTCGAACTTATTCCAAGCAATGACCTAGACAAACATCCTGACCAAATTTGATGATGATTGAGGCAAAAATGTGACCTCTAGAGTGTTAACAAGGTTTTTCTATTTTTAGCTCTTGTGACCTAGTTTCTTATCCAAGATGACCCATGTTCGAACTCATCCAAGCTATCAACTAGATAAGCATCCTGACCAAGTTTGATGATGATTGAGGCAAAAATGCGACCGCTAGAGTGTTAACAACTAAATGTGAACGGACGACGGACGACGGACAATCATCGATCCTAAAAGCTCACCCTGAGCATGCTCAGGTGAGCTAAAAAAACAACAACAGATTATTTAACAATATGTAAATATAATAATAATAGATATTTTAAAAAGAGAAATAAATACATTCCTTACCAAAATGTTCTTTAAAATTATGCATTTTTCTCAAAAACCTGAACTTACATCAGCACATTTACTTCCCAAATTAGCAATTTTTCGTAAAAATGTTTTTCATTCCAGGTATACTGATTACCAAACACTAAATTTGAGCATAAAAACAGTCAAAACATCCTATCATTCTATAAAATATTGAAAAACAGTAAAACATTTAACAATACCCATGACAACTACAGTAAACAAATTTAAGGACTTTTCATGAAGTTCCCTTAATACATTCTATGACAATGCAAACTAACCAGAAATAATTTACTGTAACTATGAAAAATAACTATAACTCTTGACTCTTGTAACACTTGTCTTCAAAGGTGCCTAATGAGTATGTAGACAGTGATCATTAAAGACAGGTGGTTTAAATACAGAGGTTATCATATATTGTTGAAATGACTGAACAATCTTTGGTTTATAAATCATAATGCACACATTACCAAATTAAACTTTTGGCATGTTCCTTCCTTCTGTTCAATTTCATCCTATATATAAACTTGATAAAGGGCCCTACAGGGAGAAGAGGCAGCTATCAGCAGAACTATACACACATCATAATATTATAAATATCTAACATTTCTTAATTCCCTCATAAGCTTTTCCCCAGTCTTCAACATGGGGACTCTTTACTGACATACCATCAATTAAACAAATCATAAATCCATATTATCTCATTTAAAAAAAAATCCTATCAGATAAATTTTACACATTACAGTCTGTTTCACTATGTCAAATTTACACTTGAACAGCTATAACATGATTGATTAAACCATATTAATATATGGCAGATGTCTGTTATAATTATACACCCAGAGTGATCTTTCTTCAACTAAATAGATGATTATCAAACTTTGATCACATGCTGGAAACAACACAAACAGATTCCTAACACATTTGAGCCGCATCACAACAAAACCAACATAATGCGTTTGCTACCAGCATGGATCCAGACCAGCCTGTGCATCCGTGCAGTCTGATCAGGATCCATGCTGTTTGCTATCATTTTCTTTACTTGTTATAGGTTCTGTAAACAAACAGCATGGATCCTGATCAGACTGCGCAGATGAGCAGGCTGGTCTGGATCCATGCTGGTCGCAAACACATTATGTTGGTTTTGTCATGATGCGGCTCATATATATGCATAAATCGTTTTCAGTTCCAATGTATTTTCAGCTATCATTTATCACTGAGAAGTACTACTGTTTACTCTAGATCCTATAATTAATACTTTTAAGACTAGGTATCGAACTGGTTTCTGCGTACTAGGACTTATTTGCTATTTTAAACCTTATCTTTAAATGCCTTTGTAAAATAAACTATTCCTGACCCATGTTGTTTTAGTCATTTATATACTAAAACATTAGAATTTGTGTACAAATTTCACAACATTCAAGAAGCTAGGTACTTCATGAAATTTCATTGTTCATGTAGGCGGCACACATTCATAAAACACAAAATGGTTTGTGTTTAAAAGGTCTCTGCATTCGTATCAATTCCATTTCATCAATTGATATCAAGTCACTTTAATCAATTTAAAAATCACGAGTTTGTGTTTTAATTGTCTCACATTCTGCACATCTCGATTCCTTAACACATTTAAATCCACATAGTGGTACGTACCGGCCCCTCAAGTTTCAAAAAACTTCATTCTCACTTCAAGAAGTCATATCTTTGTCTGTATGTACAAATATATATGTAATTTATCACTGTACTTTCAATCATCTTATATCGGCAGCTTCCGGAGGAGGCGTGTGTTTACTGTCATCATAATATTGTTGGAAAACGCGTTCATGCGCACAGCATTCCATTGCAGTATATGTATGAATGAGAAGACGTGGAAATCTTGTTGTAAAGTAGCGGACAAACTGATCCGGTACAGAACCTAGGGATTCTTTTACGTCATCAGGTAATTCTCTATAATGGTGTTTCTGTAAAATATAAAAGTATTTCACTGTAATGACAAATAAATCTTTATTTCAATACAAAATTCCTAAAAACTGGACCTTGTCATTATAAGCAAGTATTCAAAGTTTCATGTTGATAACTTATAAATTGTTCGAGTTATGGGCTTAACAGAAGTTTTTGCATGACAACAACAACCAAGCCACAGTGTTCATAATAGCTTTAATTTTTCTTTGAAACAGGCGAGCCGAAAACATATTTCCAAGTGTATTTTGATGTAATGAGTATAAACAAAATATGGTAGAGTCACAGTACCTGTGCTCGACCAGCCCAGTGCTCGACCAATACTTCTATTTGTGTATGATTTATGCATTAAGGTGGAAAAACCCTGGGAGTTTGTATGTGCTATTTGTACCTGACCTGTAACCTCTACACCATGTACAAGTATCCCAAGTTTGTTAGAAGAGTGGCCATTTTGCAGACAATATTAAACAGCACAAAAATACATTTCTATAACAAAAGTAGCAGCAAAAACTTTTAAAACACTGAAATAATGATAATTTAGGACAAATGTGGACAATACTTTGTTAAATTGCCTTTACTCTTATGATTCCAATTGATTTCCATAGGAAAGGTGCATAAAAATCATCAAAACCCTGCTTTCCATAAAAGGCAGCGGCTATGAACATGTAAACAAATATGGCAGCTGTACAGAAACAAATCGGGAACACACCACTAAAAGCGTAAACCATTTGTATATTACACCAATTATCACACTTAACTATGTTTACAGAGTGATTTAAGTAAAAAAGAAATGAGAATAAGTTATCTCAAACACCCCAGTATATGTAAATTCCAAAACTCATATAAACACTATTTGTCAATGTATAGCATTTCCCTTGTATCATATTTGCTCTCATATTTACATCTATAGACACTAAAACATAAATGTTTCAAAATATTTTTGAAATAGAATTGTTGAACATAAAAAGTCATATCTATTTTAAAAAAATAAAAGTTCTGATAGAGATAAAACCACCTGGTCGAGCACTGGTTTTGTTGCCTGAAAAATATAGTGGTTTTATACCCTATATACAACTCCGTAGTAAATTGTATCCTGATCTGTGTAATTAAAACACTTTAGCTTATTGTGAGTTTGAAAGGGCCAGCTTTGTAACAAAAATAAGTTTCCCAGCAAACTTTTTGTTCTGAAAGAGTTTTTATGTGATTTTGTGAAAAACTGGTTGAGCACTGATACGGTGACTCTATATAGCAAACCTTGTTCCTCATTGCTCTTAAAAGATCCCGCACATTTTGTCCTTTGTATGTTCTAAACTTTCTCAGATCTGAAAAGAATTGCAAATTCTAATAACTGAAATGTATTAAATTCATTAACAAATTGAAAATTTCTGAGTTTATGAGCTCATGAAATCTTGAATAAAACATAAACTAAGTTATTGAATATCAATTACTTTTACCTAGATTTGATGAGATTTCCCAAACAGTAAATAAAAAGGAAGTTATAGAGAAATTTCTTGAATTCTGAAAAATTGATCTTGGAGGTTAAAGACATGTACTAATGTATTTGAATGATACCCTTTTCTACCTGAATGTTTTGTTCAAGGTTTACTTTATTTACAAGGGGTAGTGAGGGATGTTGCACCTTTTCATTATCCCTCATGTACAGACTCAATCAAACTGAGTCTGTAATTTTCATATAATTTTGTTGTGATTAATGCTTCTGAGGATCACCCTTTCTCCAGATTTTTGTTAAAGGATAGACAAACTAACAAACAAGAAAGAGACATTTAACTCCACATCTATCCACTGATTAGTGCATTGTTTTACTAAAACATCTTAAGTAAAATTTTCAAACTGCAATCACTCTATAAAATCCATTGAGATGTACATAATGTTGATAAAAACCACCTGCTTCCTGAAAGATTACATGTACCATATGAATTCTTAATTCATTCAAAAGAAACCATATGTGAATGTAATCTATAGTACACTAATCATAAAACTGATTTAGTTACAAAATAATTCTATGGTTACCATTTTGTAATTCCATAGAGATATGATTGCGCCAATCCCCTTTCACCACACGGTCGCCACCCCATTCTAATTTCTTAACAACCAAGCTTGATTCACTTTCTTTCTCTATACGATCACTTACATCCTGTAAACAAAAATATTTTCAAAATATATACATATAGCACTGAATTACTGTGGTATACTTAGGTATTTATGATAGCTGCACTGCAATTACTAAAATAAGAGGAGATGACACCTAGTTAACAGGAGAACACCGTACTACTATAACTGCCATACCTTGCCATGGTAATATATCTTTTAATAAACTTTCTAATACTCTAATATGTGAAGCTAGAATTTTTTCTGTTGGGTTTTAAGTTACACCAACACAGTAATAGTCTTATGGCAACTTTTCCTCTAAACTGGTGGACCTCTTAAAATAACAGATACTAAAATCATGATTTTTGTTATACCTGGAAAAAAGAGAGTTGTCTTTCCAGACTCCAGAAGAAAGGATGTTTAAGCACCATCTTTGCCAAAGGCCGATTATCAGGGTCAAAATCTATCATGGATTCAATCAACTGTTTCCTAACAAAACAGTCAGTGACTGGAAGACAATCTGTATTGTATTCCCCTGCCAGAATGTTGGCTTGGCGGCGTAATGGTTCCCCAAATGGATGTTTACCCCTCGTTACCACATAATATAAAACACAGCCTGCTGAGAATATATCCACTGCACATGTCTGGAAATATATCAATTGTTTACTCTAAGTTTTATTTTAAATATTATTCCATGAAAGATATATTAATATTTTGATGAAATAAATAGCTTAGAGTTGGTGTGTATATTGTAATGTATTTCAAGAATAGTTAATTGTTTCTTTTTTTTTTATTTATTAATTTTTTAATGGGTTTTATGTCACACAGACATAATATAGGTCATATGGCGATGTTCCAAGGAAGACCTTCGGTGCCCTTCCGTACACAGACGTTCGTTAAGCTAGCTGGACAGCTTCCTCACATGAAAGAATCCAAAGTCCCTGTAGGGATTCAGATCCACAGCGTTGAGGGGCAAGTGGTTTGAAGTCAATGACCTTAACCATGCCCCCCTTGTTTGTTTTTTTAATGTGAATGTTAAAATGTTTTTACAGTAGATTTACAGAAATTTAGGTATTTTGTAGTTCACTTGTTATACTTTACTTTTGTGAAATTCAACAAATAAAATCCAAATACTAAGTTTACAATTACTTACTGTTCTATGATCTTCATTTAACATTTCAGGTGCAATCCAGCCTTCTGTTCCAGCTGCACCAGACCTCCGTGAGAATGAGAGCCGTCCTGCGGCTAATTTTTTACAAAGCCCGAAGTCAGAGATCATTGCCCTAACTTTGCCCTGAGAATCTGGTTGTGATATCAACACATTTTGTGGTTTTATATCTCTGTGTACTGAAAACATTTAATTGATATTATACAGCAATACAGAATAACAATCTTAGAAGATAATATTGCTTGAAAAAGTTTTCGACAAAGTAATGTTGAAAATTTCTTATTGAATTTTTAAGAGTTTATATAAAAAGATTAACATTTTTTTTTTCAAAGATGGAGAAATTTATTTTCTTCTTTTCCCGAAGGTTGCATATAATCACAGATTTTTTATACAATGAAAATTTAGCTTTTAAAGAAACAAAATATCACCTTTGCCTTGGTTGTTCTGTTTTCATTTGATACAGGTAGATCAATTCAACTCATAGCTATTTTGGAGAATGAAAATCAAGGAATGCAACACAGAGAAATATAAAAATGTATATAAGGAGGTTTAAGCTAAGAATAGATAGGTAGAAATGTGTCCAGAGAACATCAATGCCCCCCTCCCCCCCAATCCACTGCTTTCTTAGTCCTACAGACAGACAGCTTGACAGACAAGTGTATATCTATAAAATATATAATATATTATGCACCCTCCATTCCAGTAGTGAGGGCTTAAAAAAAAGTAACAAAATGATTTGACCCCAATCTTTTGCAAGGTGTCTTAATATTGAAGATACTTTTAATATATCAGTCATGGTCATCATGATTTAAACAAATAGTTTATTAACAGAACACAGAATATAAATCACTCACCAATGTCTAAGGAATGTAAATGATTTAAGCCAGACATTGCCTGATATAATATGGTTATAGGATCTAGGTCAAACTTGCTCTTGCCATCTATATAACTAGCCAGTGTTGCTGTACATAACTCTAGGGCAATATATCTAAACTGGCTGTCTGCCTCCTGAAATAAAAGAGAAAATGTTTTGAATGAAAAAATGTTTAAAACAAATAAATATTGAAATAAAAAAATCATAGGGTTTTACATAACACCAACACAGTATAGGTCACATGGCAACTTTCCAGCTTTAATGGTGGAGGAAATCTTCAGCCCCTCTCTTTGTTATTTTAGGCACAAACAGGTACCCGAGTAAAACCACCACATTCTGTAAGCTAATTGGATGGGAAAAAATGTTTTAAATAAAAGAAATATTGAAAGAGTGCAAAATTCTAAGAGTTTAAACATATTTTAAATGTTAACAAGATTTAGAACTGATTTTTATTTTTGTTGCCATGACAACTAAAATCTTTCTTTAGAAATAGAATTACGTGAAAGATATACAATGATCTGTCATGGTTGGTATTGAAACTGTGTTTTATGAATGTGAAAAAAAAAATAGACAGACTGATGAAAGGACAGCAAAACATAACAATAGCTCTTCCTGAACACACTACTTCTTTTGTAACACATAGAATTTGACATGCAAAATTTAGCCTGTGGAATGTGTTTATATCCAATAACAAGGGTGCCATAGTCACAAAATACGCCCGTTTACGAAAGCTTTAGATGGAGATGGGGGCATTATGGATACGTGTTATCTAGCAAGCAAGTTTTTATTCTTGGCACTGTGTTGTTAAATGGACCTTAAACAAATCAGTAGGGAAGATATGCACAGGATGTGTGACCTTGACCTTGGTCGCAGGGACCTGAATTTTATGCACGGCACTCAGCCTCACAATGATGAACATTTGTGCCAAATTATATTGAAATCCCTCTATGCATGTAGAAGTTTTGCTCCAGACAAGCGTTTTTCTATGAGCTCTAACTGTGACCTTCACCTTTGACCTAGAGACTTGGTTCATGTGCAGGGCACTACGTCTCATGGTGGTGAACAATTCTATAAAGTAACATTAAAATTCCTCCATGCATGTAGAAAATATGCTCCGGACAACATCTGGATATTTAATCATCTCCAGTGACCTTGACCTTGCAAATATTAACCTAAATTAAATGTGTCACACCTGTAGTCATGATAGTTACCATTTGTGCTACAATCCATCAATAAATGATGACTAAATGGTCCCTATACACATCTTCAAATTTTTATCTGAACTTTTACCTCTATGTGTAACCTTGACTTTGGTCACAGGGATCTGAATTTTGCGTGCGACACTCAGCCTCACAATGGTGAACATTTGTGCCAAGTTATATTGAAATCCCCCTATGAATGCTGAAGTTTTGCTCTGGACAAGCATTTTTCAATGAGCTCTAACTGTGACCTTGACCTTTGACCTGGAGACCTGGATCATGCATGGAGCAATACATATCATGGTGGTGAACATTTCCATAAAGTATTATAACAAGAGGGCCATGATGGCCCTGAGGTCGCTCACCTGTATATAGCCCCCCCCCCGGGCAAATGTTTACCCAAGGGCTTTTATTTGTTTATTTGAACAAACTTGGTAGATACCCATAAGAAGATGTTTCATGCTAAACATCTAAGTTCTAGCTCATTGGGTTTTTTAAAAGAAGATTTTTTAAGTTTTTACTATACACATATAGTTAAAAACAATGACACCCCTGGGGCAGGGCCAGTTTTGACCCCCGGGCTTTTATTTGAACAAACTTTGTAGATATTTACTTAAAGATGTTTTATGCTTAATATCTAAACTCTAGCTATTTTGGTTTATTCAAAGAAGATTTTTTTTAAGTGTTTGCTATTATAACACATATACGGAAAATTAATGACCCCGGGGCGGGGCCAATTTTGACCCCAGGGCTTTTATTTGAACAAACTTGGTAGACACCCATTAGAACATGTTTCATGCTACATATCTCAGCTCTAGCTCTTTGAGTTCGTTAAAAGAAGATCTTTTAAGTTTTTACTATATGCACATAGAGAAAATCAATGACCCCAAGGGGCGGGGCCAATTTTGACCCAAGGGCTTTTATTTGAACAAACTTGGTAGACACCCATTAGAACATGTTTCATGCTAAATATCTTAGCTCTAGCTCTTAAGGTTCTTTAAAAGAAGAATTTTTAAGTTTTTACTATATGCATATAGGGAAAATCAATGACCCCCTGGGGCGGGGCCAATTTTGACCCCAGGGTTTTTATTTGAACAAACTTGGTAGACATTCACTAGAAGATGTTTTATGCCAAATATCTAAGCTCTAGCTCTTACAGTTTTTTAAAAGAAGATTTTTTAAGTTTTTACTATATGCATATAGGGAAATCAATGACCCCCTGGGGCGGGGCCAATTTTGACCCCAGGGCTTTTATTTGAACAAACTTGGTAGACACTCACTAGAAGATGTTTCATGCCAAATATCTTAGCTCTAGCTCTTTGGTTCTTTAAAAGAAGATTTTTTAAGTTTTTACTATATGCATATAGGGAAAATCAATGACCCCCTGGGGCGGGGCCAATTTTGACCCCAGGGTTTTTATTTGAACAAACTTGGTAGACATTCACTAGAAGATGTTTTATGCCAAATATCTAAGCTCTAGCTCTTACAGTTTTTTAAAAGAAGATTTTTTAAGTTTTTACTATATGCATATAGGGAAAATCAATGACCCCCTGGGGCGGGGCCAATTTTGACCCCAGGGCTTTTATTTGAACAAACTTGGTAGACACTCACTAGAAGATGTTTCATGCCAAATATCTTAGCTCTAGCTCTTTTGGTTCTTTAAAAGAAGATTTTTTAAGTTTTTACTATATGCATATAGGGAAAATCTATGACCCCCTGGGGCGGGGCCAATTTTGACCCCAGGGCTTTTATTTGAACAAACTTGGTAGACACTCATTAGAAGATGTTTCATGCCAAATATCTAAGCTCTAGCTCTTAGGGTTGTTTAAAAGAAGATATTTAAAGATTTTTCTTTCGGTTGCCATGGCAACCAGAGTTCTGTATGGAATTAAATTCTTTGAACAATTTTTAAAGGTGACCACCAAAGGAACATTCCTGTGAAGTTTGGATGAAATTGGCTCAGTGGTTTATGAGGAGATGTCATTTAAAGCAAAAGTTTACGGACGACGGACGGACGGACGGACGACGGACGCCGGACGAAAAGCGATCACAAAAGCTCACCCTGTCACTTTGTGACAGGTGAGCTAAAAATTCTTCCATACATGTAGGAGATATGCTCCAGACAAAATCTGGATATTTTACCATCTTTATTGACCTTGACCTTGCATATATTGACCTAAAGTACATGTGTCACAGCCGTAGTCATGATAATGACCATTTGTGTTACAATCCCTCAATAAATGATGATTAAATCGTCCCTATACACATCTTCATATTTTTATCTAAACTTTGACCTCTATGTGTGACCTTGACCTTGGCTGCAGGGACCTGAATTTTGTGCGCGACACTCCGCCTCACAATGGTGAACATTTGTGCCAAGTTATATTGAAATCCCTCTATGCATGTGGAAGTTTTGCTCCGGACAAGCGTTTTTCAATGAGCTGTGACCTTGACCTTTGACCTAGAGACCTAGTTCATGTGCGTGACATGGCTTCTCATAATGGTGAACATTTCTATGAAATTTCATTAAAATCCCTCCATGCGTGTAGGAGATATGCTCCGGACAAAATCTGGATATTTCATCATCTTTAGTGACCTTGACCTTGTATATATTGACCTAAATTATATGTATCACAGCCATAGTCTTGATAATGACCATTTGTGTTACAATCCCTCAATAAATGATGACTAAATGGTCCATATACACATCTTCATATTTTTATCTGAACTTTGACCTCTATGTGTGACCTTGACCTTGGCTGCAAGGACCTGAATCTTGCGCGCGACACTCCGCCTCACAATGGTGAACATTTGTGCCAAGTAATATTGAAATCCCTCTATACATGTGGAAGTTTTGCTCCGGACAAGCATTTTTCAATGAGCTTTAAGTGTGACCTTGACCTTTGACCTAGAGACCTGGTTCATGTGCACGACACTGCTCCTCATAGTGGTGAACATTTCTATGAAGTTTCATTAAAATCCCTCCATACATGTAGGAGATATGCTCCTGACAAAATTGGACGCCGCCCGCCCGCCAGGGGCGTTCCCATAATACGTCCCGTTTTTCAAACGGGCATATAAAAAGCCTGAAGTATGAGGAGAAATAAAAGTAGCAGATGACATTACAGGAAAACATATACATACGATACAAAAGTTATTTAAGTCATTAGAAGAAAACATACCATACAAAAGTAGCGTATGACATTAGGATGTTGGTCCGATTCCCGTAACAACTCCACCTCTCTGTCAGCAAAACTAAAACATTCTGGTAGTAACCTTTTCACTGCTACACTACGTTGATCAAATGTCCCCCTGAAATATTAAAATTTTGAGGACAATTTAAACTTTACAGTTAACATAATGCCTGCTTATACTGGAAGTTTTTTTTTTCATTCTTGTAGTAGAATAAAATACAAATAAAACGTATCTATAACCCTTGAAGTTCATAGAGTAGCATGACATGTTCTAGAGCCAGCCTAAACAGCTATACAGTCTGACTAGTCTACTATCGGCTGTTCATATTTAAAATCGAAATCCCTTACAAGTGGATTCTTTTGTTGTTATTTTTGTTTTTAATGATCTCTAAATAAACTTACTTGTAAACAAATGTGCCTTCACATCCATGCCCTAGAACCTCTTTAGGATTATACACAATTTTTCCAACTTGAACATGCCCATCTGGTACAGCTGTAACAATGTCAATAAATAATCATGATAATCATAGATCAAAATTAATTGCCATAGTTTTTAATATATTTGCTTGATTTATCACAAAGACCTAAGAAAATATAACAAAGTTCAATAAAACCAATTGACTGTGGTTCATCTTGACCCTTTTTACATTTTAACAGAAAAGAAAAAGCCACAAAAACTTATCTTTAAACATACATCTTAATTCATAGTGACCGAATCAAAGCAAGACTAACTCATATAAATACTGTACCATCATATTGTAAGTCAGAAAATGATCTGTCTCTCTCATTAAATGAAGTCTGTGCAGATTTCTGTGTCTGTTCATTCAACTTATGTTCTTCTATCTTACGTAATATCTTCTTGAATGACTCCTCATCTGGTGTCTGGAAAAAAATCATATTATAGAACATATACACCAGTCAATTTGTAGTTTATTTCACACTTACTATTTCCATGAATTGAGTCTCTTTCGCTCTCTTTCAACATTTCAGATATATATTAGCAATAGTATCTTGATCTTTCAAAGTTGTTGAAAGTGAAAAAGTGGTTTGAAAAACCACCACTGTTATTTCAGAACTGTAACAAAACTATTATTTGATAGCTTTACAACGATACCATTTAATCAAATTATGAAGATATTGCTTACACGTGACCAAGTTGCTACAGTTGTAACTGTGAAATTATGTACACCTCACCATGAGGGGTTTGAATCTTTTACGGTCATTTTATTTGTTTTCCCTATTAGGAGGCAACCTAGGTAGATAAAGGTTAGTGGTTCTATCTAAATGCCACTTTGTGACTGAAATAATGCTTAGAGTGGTATTCAAGGTTTTTTTCCCAATAATTAAGTTTTCCGACTCTTGGATTGTCAATTTGATTTAAAATATTAGCATAAAGAATTTACAGTTTATTAAGACCATAAACAGATTGGACTAAAGTGGTCTTAATATGCCGGGTGGTCTTAATTGTGGATATGATTATCAAGGCATATATAATTATTTTTTGACCACAGTCTAATTTAATCATTATGTATAAACATGTTCAAACAATATGTATTATAACCTTCAAATGAAATATAACTATACAGTCAAGACTGCCTTAGCGACCCCCTGATTTCAACGACTCCCTGTCTTATCCGACCTTGTTTCAGTCCTCCCAACGTATTTCCCTATATAAATGGTCTGAATTATACGACTCCCTGTCATATGTGACAAGCGACCCTAATTGTCTGGTCCCAATGCATTGCTTTGTCTGATTTAAACAACTTTCACACCTTTTAATTGTCCGTTTATCAGATAAATAATACCTGTTTTAACACACAGAGGGCCAAAATAATTAAGTCCAATTATTATCCAGTAGTCAGTACACTTCAAACAACCTCTACACAACATTGCATCAATACACAGTTTACTTGTACATACAGGTATCAAGTGACGTAGTATATGGTAAGCATGATGCAATCGATGTGTGTTAAGGTGACAACAGACACTTTCCGTGGTACTCACATAAATGTCATTTAAACAAAGTTATTTTAGTAATAATTGTTATTTATTTAATCTTTGTGCATTAAATGTCGTTGATCATCATAAAAAATAACATATTTGAAAAAAATGCCTTTGTAAATGATTGATTTTGAATAAAAATCCTAAAATTTTAAATCGTCACATCAAAGTCATTTTTCAATTTTTTGTCATCAAACTTTTTGAAAATAACCATACTTATATTATCTAGGGAACCGTGTCTCAAATTTTTTCTATCTTTTCTCAAAAAAATATTACGTAACGTCAAACATTTTATGCGACTTTTTTCACCATACATATTACGTAATTAAAGATAATTAAGTCGCCTATTGAGCAAACAAAAATCCCTGACACGGTTCCCTTCGTAAATGAATTTCCTTTCATGTGCTTTAAACCGCATGTTAATTGCTTGATTATTAAAAAAGTTATGCCGATTCAAAGTTAGTCCGACCCGCATCAAATGAAGTGTCATAAATCGGCTGTTCTCTCTCGGACCCCTACGTTTCACGCTAAATAATTGCATAATACACAAATATCGCACCAGAGAGGGTCACAAGTTGCGGTAACATACTCTAACAACATTTTATGACCCAGTGACATCTGACCAATTAAAAAAGCTGCTGATTAATATCAGTTTATAGCTGAAATTTCTTCAATTCTTAACGTGATTTACTGATTGTCTGGTATCTGTCTCACATGTCACGTGACTATCGGTAAAATTTGAGGCACTCAGTGGGGGGGGGGGGGGGGAATGGAACGCATTTGCGCCCGCTAGCGGGGTATTTAATTGTTTCTTTTTTGAAGTTTATTATTATTATCATTAGCATTATTATTGTATTATACCAGTATCACTCTGTCTGTGTATTCGTGTATGAAATTCCGTTTAAATATAAAATAAAATAACACAAAACTAAGCTTCTGACAGTCTTTTAAAGTCCATGGTAGATGTACAAATAAGCACGGGATATTATATATTTTTTCCACCAAATTGATAATGCTTCACATATTTTAATAGAAATAATAGGTATTACTAGATCATTATGATCTGGCCTTCTTGACTTCTATTGTGAATATCATCTATGCACGGCATAGAGATCCAGTTTCTACCGGGATAGACAATAAATTTCATACTTTGTCCCAGATTTATTAGTACTGTGTCCGATTTACTGGCGAACAATTTATTTTCACTGAGAATATATTTTAATATCTTTTTTTTATTTATAGAGAAATAATCATCCTTAGACAATCTAAAATGGTTTTAAAATTTGTCAGGGACACCTTTCCACAAGTCACATAGGCATTCACATATAAAAATGTTGTCTGTTTTTGTTGTTGTTTTACTTGACATTGTTAGAAAACGAGGTTGAATGTAAGGTAAGCCCTTGAATCCGTACAAAAGTCTATCAACTCAACGTAATATCTATCAGAATAACGGGACAGACAAATTATTTTCATACATTATGGATATTTTAGCAACTACATTTTTAATCAACCCCGTGGTCGTGCGATTTGCCGCTATGCTTAATTATTTATGTTTCATACATTATGTTACATACAATGGCCGACAATTTCTTAATTTATAAAAAAGGCTAAATGTTGAGATATTCATAAAAGATGTACGTTAGTTGTACGATACATGTATTACGAGAAGTATGGATCAGTATGGACCTATAATTCACGGATATATGGAACTACCGATTTCCCTCATTGATGCCTCAACAGGGGCGGAGCGTTATCGATAACCGACAGGTTACGCAAATAGCAGATACAAATAGTATAGGTTCCGTTTTAAAACGTTTAAAAACACATTTTTTGGACTAACTGCTTCCAAAATTAAATCACAAATGTGTTCAGAAAAGGTTGATAAATCTACTTAGCAAAAAATCTCATTTTAGGTATTTTCAGTGATAATTGACTCCGTTGTCACCTTAACAACTTGAGGTGTGAAGTACATAATGACCTGATCAAACTGGATTACGATTTTGGGTCAGATTTTTTTTTACTGTTTATGTAATGCCAACAGAAGATTTTTTTAGGCAGCATTTTTTTATTTCACCTTTCTATTGCTACATGAATTCTACGTGAAAATGTTGATAGATCTACCTTCCATTTAAAGAGAAAAAAAAACTTTGGATATGAATATGTCTTAAAGTATGCTATTTATTTTAAGGATTTTGAATGCATCAGATTCAAGTTTATTTGTACTAAAATGATTCAATATAAATCTAATATAAAAATAAAATTTATTTTTATATGATATACATGCAATTAATTATAATGTTTTGCAGTGATTCTCATTTTATTTACATCAAGTATTTAAAGAGTCTATGTTTATTTACAATTGGTTACATATTATTCCTTCACACAGTTATGTATTTTAATTTTCTTTGAGACTGTATTAAGAGACTCCCTGTCATATCTGACCTTTTTCTGAGGATCCCTTGGAAAGTCACATATGACAGTCTTGACTGTATATACTGTATAATAAACACTTACCCTTGGAAATATAACAACCACAGCTCCTATTGATATAAGCAGTATTACAATGGTCAAAAACTTGAAATCCACATTCAAATAATCCATGGCCTGTGCTAACAATCCAATTTCTGTAACAGTATGATTTAACTTCTCCTTAGTACTCTCCCCTTTTTCCAAATGTGGAGGAAATTTTGGTTTTGGTGAGGAATTATGTTTAGAAGGCTTGTGTCTAGGTGGTATGACTTTATCAGTAGTTTCAGACCTGTCTGTAATCTGGATTGCTGAGGTTATTTGGTTTTGATCTTCTTCAGGAACTTCATGATAACCTGTGAAAAAAAATTGTCAAACTTTAAAATTGCTATACAAGTATCTTAAATATTCTGTCATCATCTTTCATATACATTTTTGTCATATCAGTATCCTATACTGAAAGTTTTGTGTAACATAGTTTAAAGTCATTCATTTTACACCTTAATGCCTTATATTCTATAGACATAATCTGAATATTTTAATGTCATACCCAACAACAGTACAGCATCCTCTCTTCTAACTGTATGAGCCCTCATTTTCTCTTCATGTGTTTGAGGTAGATTATTCTTGGGTTTTTGGTCCTGTACACTTCCCTTTGGTCCCTCAAGCTGAGGTATGCCACCTGCCCTTGGCTGCAAAGTAACAAATTCTAGGTTGTTTTCAATATGATAACATACTAAATAAGAGTTGATTGAAATTCTGGTTTGAATTGGTGCACAGATTTCTGACATCAATGTCTAAGTTTAAAACAACTTTTCTCATTTTTGACCCTTATAAATACTTTCTAAATATATGTTTCTCGTTTTCAACCTCAGTCTGTCTCCCATTTGGCAAATTATACAGTGTTTTTAATATCAGCCTCTCTTTTTTGGATAAAATACACATTTTTAATCTCAGTGAGGTCTCTCTTTGGGTATAATACAAACTTTTAACCTCGGCCAGGTCTCTCTTTGGGTAAAATACACACTTTACTCTCTTTGGGTTAAATACATAATTTTAGCCTCAGTGTGTCTCTCTTTTGGCAAAATTGCACATTGCACATTTTTAACCTCTGCTTTCCTTTTTTACTTCAGTCTGTCTCTTGGGACAAAAAATACAAATTTTTAACCTCCGCATGTCTTTCTTTAGACAAAAGCACATGCTAAGCATATTTTTCTCATTTTTTTTACCTTAGCAATCGTTTTCATCATGCTTATATCTCATTTTTAACTCAGCAAAACTTTCCTTGTATTTTTTTTTTTCATAATCAAGGAATTTTTTTGATAAACAGCTGCAATGATAATTTGCCTTTGCCATCAACATAAAAGCAATGACACAGGCTGCACATTCAAACCAGACTCTACAGCATTAATTTCTGTTAATTTCAATATTTGCCTGACTTAAACTCACAATGGAAGTGTCAAACTTCAAAGTAAAGCAAGTCCGCAAAGGTAGGGTTTAAATAACAACTTACTGATATCGTGACAGTCTTCTCATCTACATATGATCCTGTAGCAAAACTTCCATGTTCATATTCTCCAACATACAATGTAGGGCTGAAAAAAATATACACAAATTATTCAGTCAGTTTGATTATTCAGTTTTGTTCATTTTTTACTTGCAGTGATTTTTTCACCTCTAGGGGAATGGTGGCAGGGCAAAATGGGGATTCAGAAACAGATTAAAAGTCAAATTGTGGTATAATACCATTATTTTTTCATACTATAATGTCCTTCTCTATCTAGACTGTTGCACTACAGTAAAATCTCACTGTTGCACTACAGTAAACTCCGCTTATAACGAACTCATTGGGACATTCAAAATCTGTTCCTTATATCCGGAGTTCCTTGTAACAACATATAGCAAATTAGTTCCTTGTATCAGGAGTTTTTATAGCGAACAGATTTACACATGACGAACTGATTGTTTACCATCGTCCTCCATTTTGAAGAGCATTTGTTTAAGAAAAATTAGTCATTTATTTCTTTTTTAGACACAATACCCTAGAGCTTACTTTTTGGAATTTTAAAATCCTTTGCTTTTTCAGTTTCAGTTTTACTCCCTTTCTCAATTTCTAATAGAATATCAGATTTTGTTTCTAAACTCTTTTCGTGCTTTTCCTTTTCTTTCCATGATTAAGAATAAACAAGATTTTCGAATTTTTCCTTCCTGTTTAATTGAATATCTTCTATTATATTTTAAGGGTGGCTTTTACTAATGAAAGATACAGATTTCTTTTCATTTCAATCAAGCATACTTTGTAGTTTTCAATGGATTAGCAGGGAATAGCCTGCATGATTATGCTGAAAACCACATATATAAATGATCATAATTATTTAACTCGAGCAAAACTATTGAAGAAAAGAAATAAAAGAATAAAAGCAATATCCATTTTATCTTGGTGACAAGAAGTCATGCTATAATATCCTAAATAGAAAACTATAACGTACTGCTATACAAATTTATTCAAGTACAAACAACAATAAACGGTATATTCGGCCGAGTCTCAATCCGTGCCAATGAGAACGAAAGTTGAAAATGCTGGATCTTTTTATGGATAGTCGATATTTGGAGTTCGTTATGAAAGTGTTTTCTGTGTACTTTTAACTAAACTGGGAATAAGAAATGAGTTCCTTATAAACGATAATTCTTTATAACCTTGTTCGCGATAACCGAAAATATTTATATCAAATAAAGAAGGGCAAAATTCGGGCCAATAAAGTTGTTCCTTAAAACTGGAAGTTAGCTATAACCGTCTTCACTATAAGTGCAGTTTACTGTATTCTGATAAAATAAACTTTTTTCAGAAATAGGGGGAAATTATATACTTTTTGGGGAGGGGACATTTATCATAGATGATGGCAAACGTTTTGAGAAAAATTTATATGCCTACTAAAAAAGGACAAAAAGCCAACGCAACTCTTTATGTTGATAAAGCTGAAGGTAATTTTTGACTGGTCTTCAGATCTAAACTGTCAGAGTAAAAAAAATATTTCAAACAGTAGCCTGTTGAAAGGAAAATTTTTAGAAACATACTAAAATATCTTCTTCTGTCCATGTTCTAAGAATCTGTTTTTCCAGAGTGTTGAGGAAAGTTGTCCTGTAAGATGATCCAGAGTTTCCGGTGCAAATGTTGTAAAAGGGATTTTCTGAAGCCCCTCGGAGTGCAGCACGTACATAGCGACAACAGGCGAGTCAAAGTCTGTATGCCAAAGTATATCACCAGTCACACTGTCAAGTGTCACTGTCAAACCACTGGAGCTTGCAGTGCAGTGTCGCATTTCTGAAAATATATTTAGATTTTAGAAAAAAAACTTTATGGACTGTAAAAAAGCATCAAGTGAAATTTAGATGAAGATGAAGATCTATCTGTCAGCTTAGCTTTAAACACAAATAAAAGTGCATTATTAATAGTTGTTGAAAAAGATCGGAACTATTTCTTTAACATACAAATTGATCTGAGCAGTAATTGGAATCTTAACATGACAAAATGAATCCTGTAAAATAATTTTTGTAAGTCATTCCAGTAAGCAATTGCTCATATTTTCTGTCAAAGAATCAGTAATAAAAGTAGTTAATTTAATAACCATTCGACTCAATGTCCGATATTAATTACCACGAAGAAATTACACCTCACTTGAGGATAAAGCCAGACACCAGTGGATTACTAGATTGACACTCTCTCTATTTAGTTAGGCCATGGACTAGGATTATGTTCCTTGTCATAAAACTGTTTCTTGTGAATATTTGAAATGATCCTACTTAAAGAGCAATTTGTCAAAATTTTAAGTTAAAATGTGGAATACTTGCTAAGATATTTCTTGCAGAATTATACCCCTTATCTTACAACTACATCTTATAATGATTATTTTATACTCTTTTTAAGTTTTGTGTTGATACCTTTAATACTGTCAGCGAAATAGGCAACATTACAGTTCTTGCAGGATGACAACGACTGCACAACAATCATAATAGCAGGACTTTTGTCTTCGAATCAGATAAGAAAATAATAAATTGAAAATCACTGTACACTTAGATATTTTAGTAATATATCTTACCATAATCTTGGACATCTGGGGCCACATGGGAGGAATAATCAAGATATGTAGCATTCCACCTACAGTCATAAAACACATTATCATAATAATAGACTTGTTAATGTTTTTATTACAGAAGATTTGCTCTTTATGCCCACTAGAATACATTCAAGCAATAAGTACTCTACAGCATTCATATTTGTAAATGGTCATAACAAAAAAAACTATTTTGGAAATCATTTAGTTTTATTTGTTATAGCTATATTTGAGCCGCGTCACAACAAAACCAACATAGTGCGTTTGCGACCAGCATGGAACCAGACCAGCCTGCACAGTCTTATCAGGATCCATGCTGTTCACTATCATTTTTCTACTTGTAGTAGGGTTGGTAAGCGAACAGCATGGATCCTGACAGACTGCGCGAATGCGCAGGCTGGTCTGGATCTATGCTGTTCGCAAACACACTTTGTTAGTTTTGTCATGACGCGGCTCATTTATTGAAATGATTATTCAGGATCAGAACAGATTTATATAACAAAAGTTACAGTATATTTATTTAACTTGTAAGCATTTCAAAATTGTACATGATTTATTCAAGACAGTATACCAAATTACAAACCATGTCATTTAAATTCCTAATGGCTATCATAAATTGTAGGTATATTATTCCAGCACAATATACTTACATCCGCAAACTATTTGTCTTACTTGAAGAGTGCTCCTTTTTTTTACCCTGTATTAACCATTCCCATATTATGAAGCAAGATCGGGGCCAATACCTCCTACCCAAGACCAGTCACCTCTTTCCTTGCTATAAAATGGCCTTGGAGAACCGCACCACAACATTTGTTGGAGAAATTGTGTGCCAGGATTTGGGATCGAAATGACTGAATAAAGACCTTAATCAAGACTTCCTCCATTTAGCTACCATATTATGAAATTTCCTCCTTTGCATATTTGAAAATACCTTCTACCAAGAGCATATTTCACAATATAATTCAACAGAAATTAGATTTTTCTGATTTGATTAAAAACCATAAAACTAAAATTATCAAAGAAAACATTTTAAACAGTATAAAATCTTTTTTGAAAATATTTCATCATTTAAAATATAAAAATATTTGTTTTAACAGTTTTCCAGTTATATACCACTGGGGATAAAGAATTATGATGTAAAGCTTGATTCAAGTAAGAAAATCACTAATAACCTTGTCTTGTGAATCCTTTTCCTGACATTCAATATTTCAACAGTAAACACAATGTACCACGATTATATGTCTTATCATTACAAAAAATTCAAACAGTCTGTCAATGTAGCATTTTGCAATATTGCATCATCTCTATTAATCTAAATAATTCTTACTAAATATGAAAAAAATTAGCAAGTTGAAATTCATACTTACCTATATACATGGAACAATGATGCGTATATACCTGGGGGAAGACTGCTGGCATTAAATTTATTATAGAAATATGAAATATGAAAACTAAATATTGTTACCTTTTTATTCCTGTTTTGCTGTCAAACATAACAATAGTGTATTCTGAAACAAAATAAATATATTAAGATATATATTTTTGCCAGCATTTTGAAGAGAAAAAATGAAACAAAAATAAGCTGCACTTCACTATTAATTAGTGCTGGTGAAAAAACAAAATGCGTGCAAAATAAATCACTGAATATTCATGATAAAATTATGGTAGTTGGTAACTGGCCACAAGACATTTATAAAGTTTAAGAGTATACCTACAGTAGCTGAAGAGATGCAAACAAGCATTTGAAATGAGAACAAGAAATTTGGTGAATTGACGACGGGAAATATTATGGTAAAAATCTATGCTACAGTCACAGGTCTTTGTGACCTAGAAAAGTTACATACAGTAGAGATGGTGTGACTGTATGGATGTGCATGCATCAATTTCAATGGTGGACATACACAATTTTGATGAGCTATGCTGTGTTTAGGAAATGTCCATGAAAACTGATTTCTAGCCATCACACTGCTAATACAATAATCATATCAATTAAGCTGATCAGATAAAACCATGTTGAAAATTTGTTGGTGATATATCTTTCGTTAAAGCATATTATCAATGTACAGTTTCTTTTTTAACCTAGTATACATACATTTTAGATCTTATTCTTACCAGTTCTTCCAATAAATAATGTATTCTCTTTTGTCGAAGGGCAAGTGTTCTGAGCACCATCCATTGTTAGTGTTTGAAGTTTGGCTCCTGTGTGTGGGTCTATGGCCATCCAAATATCACGCTTGTGACCTGAATTGTGAGAAAATTGTAGATGTACATGTAATTAAGCTTATTTATATATGATAACAAACAAATAAAGTACAAATTTTATAAAATATTTTGTTACAATGGTATTCAAACTAAATTTTAACAAATTATCAATTTAAATTAAAATTAAGAAAAAATAGATTTCCCTGTAATTCTTTTTAACCTCATTTTGATAGAATATTTAAAATTACACTAATTTCATTTCAAAATGTGTATACCGGTATGTGATTTAATTTCTAAATTAAAAAGTTTCAAATATAAATCAACTTGAATCAAATAATGTAAAGAACTTAGTACGTTCCAAAGAAAAAAATTCACAATTTACCTTGCCTCAAGGATTAAAAAGTTTCTCAATTTGGCAGGCCCTAAACCTGTTCCAAAAAGGGTGCAAAAACAGCTATAATAGCATTCTGTCTACAGAGAATAAAACAAGAGGGCCATGATGGCCCTAGATCGCTCACCTGAATTATCAAACTCATCCAAACAATTACCTAGACAAGCATTCTGACCAAGTCTCATGACAGGTGAGTCAAAAATGTGACCACTACAGTGTTAACAAGGATTATCCATATTTGAGCAGTGCGACCTAGTTTTTTACCCAGGTGACACATATTCAAACTTGACCTAGAAATCATCAAAACAAACTTTCAGACCAATTTCCAGGATACTTGGATCAAAACAGTAGCAACTAGAGTGTTAACAAGATTTTTCTATTTTTAGCTCCGGTGACCTAGTTTCACATGCGATTTCGAACTCATCCAAGCAATTACCTAGACAAGCATTCTGACCAAGTTTGATGATAATGAGTCGAAAATGTGACCACTAGAATGTTAACAAGGTTTTTCCATATTTGGGCGGTGTGACCTAGTTTTTTCATCCAAGATGACCCATGTTCGATCCTGACTTAGAAATCATCAAAACAAACTTTCAGACCAATTAACAGAATATTTGGATCACAACAGTAGCCACTAGAGTGTTAACAATATTTTTTCTATTTTTAGCTCCTGTGACCTAGTTTTTCATCCGAGATGTCCCATGTTCGATTTATTCCCAGCAATGACCTAGACAAGTTTCCTGACCAAGTTTGATGACAATTGAGTCAAAATTGTGACCACTAGAGTGTTAACAAGGTTTTTCTATTTTTAGCTCCTGTTACCTAGTTTTTCATCCGAGATGACCCATGTTCGAACTCATCCGAGTTATTACCTAGACAAGCATCTTGATCAAGTTTGATGATGATTGATGCAAAAATGTGACCGCTAAAGTGTTAACAAGGTTTTTCTATTTTTAGCTCGGTGACCTACTTTTTCATCCGAGATGACCCATGTTCGAACTCATCCAAGCTATCAACTAGATAAGCATCCTGACCAAGTTTGATGATGATTGATGCAAAAATGTGACCGCTAGAGTGTTAACAAGGTTTTTCTATTTATAGCTCCGGTGACCTAGTTTTTCATCCGAGATGACCCATATTCGAACTCATCCGAGCTATTATCTAAACAAGCATCCTGACAAAGTTTGATGATGATTGGGTCAAAAATGTGACCACTAGAGTGTCACAAGGTTTTTCTATTTTTAGCTCCTGTGACCTAGTTTTTCATCAGAGATGACCCATGTTCGAACTCATCCAAGCAATTGACTAGACAAGCATTCTGACCAAGTTTGATGATGATTGGTTCAAAAATGTGACCACTAGAGTGTTCACAAGGTTTTTCTATTTATAGCTCCTGTGACCTACTTTTTCATCCGAGATGACCCATGTTCGAACTCATCCGAGCTATCACCTAGACAAACATCCTGACCAAGTTTGATGAAGATTGGGTCAAAAATGTGACCTCTAGAGTGTTCACAAGGTTTTTCTATTTTTAGCTCTTGTGACCTAGTTTTTCATCTGAGATGACCCATGTTCGAACTCATCCCAGCTTTCAACTAGATAAGCATCCTGACCAAGTTTGATGATGATTGAGGCAAAAATGCGACCGCTAGAGTGTTCACAAGCAATTGTGGACGGCCGGACGGACGACGGACGACGGACATTCATCGATCCTAAAAGCTCACCCTGAGCAAGCTCAGGTGAGCTAAAAAGCATACAGAAATATCCTTATAAATTTACCTGTATAAAGAATTCCAAAAACAGCTATAATAGCATTCTGTCTACAGAGAATAAAAAAAGCATACAGAAATATCCTTATAAATTTACCTGTATAAAGAATTCCTTCAGTGCTCTTACATGGAGATGCTGTCACAAGCTCGGGGATTGTGAATGGCAGTTTCTTGATGCCCTCTCGACCATCACTGAGGGCATACAAGCTGCCATCTTTTGGGTCAGGAAGGAAACTATACCTAAAATGAGAAAAAAAATAGATCACAGTTCATATGCAAGTCTTCAATTATTAAATTATTTTCGCAAAATGCTGCAATAATTCTATGAAATTTATTTAATTAATTAAGGGCATATTGTTATCATACCACTTAATGGCCAACTTTTATAGTTTGACTAACTTTTGAATTGTAAAAGTTTAAATAAGACAATTATTTAAGCATTTCTCCCAGATTGCTCCAAAAAATTTAAACACAATTTACAGCTAAGATCAAGAGACCAGGTTTAAGTTTTAACCAAGTACTTAATTGATTATTGACCAGATAAATCATTAGTACTGATATATAAACAGCCTAATCATACAGTTTGTCAATATAATAGTTCCATTCGCTACAATTTTTGCCTCACTTTATCTATTGATCTGTTTAATTTTATCTCTAGTTTGAAGTTTAATATTGAATATCAAAATAACTTTGGGCAACATTTGGATATTTTAAATATTTGAAAACACAAAATAAATTTAATATCTGTAACATAAAGTATGCCTCCATAACTTTATAAAATGTTTTTCTTTCATAGATCAGGTTTTGACACTTAAAACAGAAAGTAAAGATACACGAAAATAATAAAAAATACACTCAGAAATAAATTCAGAATCATATTTTCACTTAAAATTTTGTGATATCTGTAGCCCAATTTTAGTGGCTTATGGTCTGAAATTTGCGAACAAGTTAATTGGTCCAGACCTACATCAAATGAAAATTTAATCTCAAAAAAATATTTGTCATGTCAAAAAAAACCTGAGTGGAGTCCCTTTAAGGTTGTTTTTTAGGTTCAAGCCCTTCATGGACTTTGATCATGTTTCCTCACATGACATCAGATCTGGTAAAGCCAGGAAGCAGACTGAGAAGTTATATTATACCCTTTGCGCCTAAAGTTAATCTGGCAATATTTTGCTTTTCTTCAAGGAAAAAAAAACATGACATTTACGAAAATGAGAGTGGCCTAGGTTTTAAATCAGAACATTTTTTCCTCAAATTTGTCAACATTAATTTCCTTTTTGGCAATTATTTATATGAAATCAAAACCATTAAAAAAAGATTGTGGTAATAAATCCTTATAGTACTGCGACTTTAATATAATAATATTATAATATTAAGTTGTGAAGGGTAAGATTTTATTCCGTAATCAAGCTAAAATAAATATGTCAAATCTAAATGCCTGTTATCTTGGAAACCATTTCATTTTATGGGAGCTATATACATGTACTATATAAAATTGTAAAATCATACGGCTGACAGCTGTTGTCATTCTGTAAACAGAAGTCATGAACATTAGTCATGAAGCAACTAATTGGTACAATAAATTATTTGAACTGACAACAATAATCAATATACTGAAGTTACAAAACCACTTCTGTGCCGTAAAATTGCTGAATTTTTGAAAGGCTTCCGTTACATTCTTTACAGGAGAAATTTAAGATTCTCTCCTTATAGATACATGTATCCAGTATATGTATATAGAGTTTAGCAATTCTTCATACAGACTGTCAACTATTTTTTACTGATCATTTACTCAGCATCTTTTCAAACAATGTGTAATTTCTTTTTATAAACTGAAACTTTAGATATCATAAGTTCTAGGTATAAAATAAAAAGAGAAGAAACAGACATTTCAAGTTAAGATAAAAATACTATAGAAGACATTCAAAAACATTATGTAAGTCAATAGAGCAGTAAAAAAATTGATGTCAGAATGTGAATTCACCAACTTCAATGAATAATTCCACAGTGTTTTGCATAAGATGTGGCCTGTTGATCACAACAAGACTTAATAATTATGTCTTTATCATCAAAACTCGCTGAACAAATCTACAAACTTTGCTTAAGGATTCTGATTTTAAATAATTTGTACTTGTGATACTATATACAGATGATTAAGTTATTTCTTTTTAAAAAGTGTGGGAGAGAACAAGCAAAGGTATTCAAAATGTTCTTTCTTTGCTTTTGAAAATCATAAAATATGGACATGCATTGAAAGACATTACAGTGATTTCAAACAAATGTGATTATTATCAGTAATTACACAATGTATAGTTACCTGAACATATAAATTATGTGTTAAAAGTGCCTTTGGCAACAGAAAAAAAATGTGTACAGAATGCCTGGCTGGTTAAGTTTAGTCTTCATTAAAACATTAAAGTAGAATTGTTCTCTGATAAATACATTGGGTAAAACCATTTAAAATTCTCAAAAAAATAAAGCATGATTACAACAAAAACAAGCACTACATTCAAATTAATGCCATGCTACTGATGCCCCTAGGGTGACCTCTTGACCTTGGCACCTTTAAGTGGGCCAGGCAGATAGATTATTGGATACACATGCCAATATGGATGAAAGCACTTTCATTGCTAAATATAGTTTTTATTTGCGGTCATGGTAATTTTGACCTTTTTTTCAGTGACCACTCACTGGGAGGGGGGGGATTATTTGAGATACAATGTACTTGATTAAAACAATTTTAGACTCTCATAAAAACTTAGTTATCAACAGACTCTGAAATCAATATTAATACAATCAACTATATTACATTTTCTAAAACAATCCATCAAAATTTAATTTATGGGTAGTGTTATATAATTCTTCAATGCTAACAGTGCTTTTACCTTCTTAAGAATGAAATCTTAAGATGGGTCTGGTAAATGGAAAAAAGCTTTTTTTTTTGCTCTTTTGCAATATTAATTTCTTCAGTATCTGTTTAACAAGTAGTTACATATTGGGCATGTTAGAATATACATATTTAGTCATTGATAACAGAGGAATACACTTAGAGTCAAAATAAAGCTGTGGTTAGTTTTAACCAACACTTGAGAAAAGCAAAATTGGTGGAGGTGGTATGAGTTCTCCATAATTCAACTGAATTACCATATATATATAATCTAATAATCTTGAAGTAACTTACCCAGATGAAACATCAGTAGGCACTTTGATTACAGGCTCTGTAACACAAAACAGCAAAAATCAAATTATACAATGTATTCTCAGGAAAATCTTAGTTTCTTTGTAAAAAAACTCTGTCTCAACATCTTATACAAAATATTAAAGGCCATCCTTTTAACAATCAGTATTATGGTACTTTTAAGGAAATGTACAACACAGATTAAAACTAGAAATGTGTCCATAGGACACGGATGCCCCCACACGCCACTGTTCTATCAATCTTATGACTCTAGGTCAAATATTTTTTGGACTACATGTGCCACAAGTTGAAAACTAAAAATCAACAAAGGGCCATAATTCTGTTAAATTTGGTCGCAGCAAAAATTTCTTCCTTTACTACCATCTACACATTAAGGTTGTTCATCCCTGGAAGTGTAAGCAAAATCTGCCATCCGGTTTAAGAGGAGTTGCGTTCACAAAATTTCTACATAGTATATAGTGAAAAAATCAACAAAGGGCCATAATTCTGTTAAATTTGGTCCCAGCGAAAATTCCTTCCTTTACTACCATCTACATATTAAGGTTGTTCATTCCTGGAAATTTAAGCAAAATCTGCCATCTGTTCACAAGATTTCAGGACGTACGGACAGACGTATGGATGGACGTACAGACGGACAGACAAGTGCAACGCTATATGCTCCAACTTTGTGGGGGCATAAAAAGAAATTGTTATGTCTGATTCATTATTACTAATCTGGATAATTATGTTGACTGTATTATAGACCAATTATGCACCCAATATTGATTTCATTTTTTTTTACATAAAAGCTTTTCATTTTCCATGTACTCATATATTTTCATGTATTTTTCATGTAGTTTTCAAAAAAGCAACTCATTTCCCAATTACCTGAACCATATATTTCTTCTGCTGCTATCACAACTTTTTCAGGTAGTAATCATATAACATGATTTAAAATCATTATTTAAATGTTCTAAAAGTCATGAATTCCCTTTCTAAAGAAGTATAGATTGTTATAGATTACCCTTCATTTCTATATAGAAACAAAATTATAACATTTTTTATCAGAAATTGAAACAGTCTGATTTTTTAGCAGCTGTTGTGAAATTTGGGGAAAAATGAGGCTATTTGGACTGGAAATTGGGCCTTATTGGTTATTTAGGCACAATGCATCAGACTGTGATGGGGTAAAAATGTCCTGGAAATACATGAAAAAGTTTCATACCTTCTTCCAAGGACCATAATGTTTTTCCAGTCTGTTTGCTTACGGCATAGAACTTTCCACTGATGGTCGACACAAAAACAAGCTCATTATATACTGTCAGGGAGCCTTCATCATGCTACAATACATAAACATCCACTATTATTTCATGTACATGTACAATGTACATTTGTATACAGTACTAGTATGATAATAACTTAATATAAACTTTAAAATTGTAAATCAACTGCAGCTTAAATAGCAAAATAGGTGGTCATACAATACATTTTCAGGGATTTACCAACCCTTTTTATATTAGGAGTCCATTGGATGCAGGATCTATAAAAACAGAGGTCCACCACAAAATTTTGGGGGTCTACTCCCAGACAATTTTCAAAATTGCCCACATTGCTCACAGAAGAAGTACAGTAAGATTGCAATATAAATGACTCAGTGATTTTTTTGGGTTGATTTTGACCCCGGAATAAGGCATCTTCACAATGCCAAAAAAAAAAAAAAACATAAAAAATTCACAAAAATCTGTAAAAAATTCTCAATTGGCAGGATTGCTTTTCAGTACCAAACAAAATAATGAACTGACAAATGACAATCTTGGAATTTGATTGATATATTTGAGGGAATAAAAAGAAGAAAGCTTAAACTATGAACATAACTATTAAATTTATGAATAAAGTGACTGCAGGTGATGATTTATTCTTGTTAATTTTTCACAATTTGACGTAATCGCGTTCAAAATTCACAATTTCAGGGGTATGGGTTGTTGCGAAAAAAGTTTTAAAAAATCACTGTGACTGTATTGTAAACAACAAAAAAACTCTACTTTGGATTTATTTCTTAAATTAAAAGCAACTCTTTAGTATTTTGACTAGAAATATTTGTTCGTCCCGTAGCTCTAACCATTTGTATCTATCTAACCAGACAGACCAGAATGTTCTGTCACTTTTCGATTTTGTGGACTGCTAGGATGATATGCTGCTTCAGTTACAGTCGAAGAGACAGGCTCATCATTTTTGAACAACCCCCACCCCAAAAATTTCTGAAGTCAGCCTGTTTTGCTATTATTTAAACCGAAAGAACTTTCATAGATAACGGTAACAACCGAGCGCTTCGAATAAAGTATTCCTGACAATAATATCTGGGGTACGCTAGTGCTCACTAATGATTGGGCGGTATTTTAAAAGCAGACAGTAACTAGCCAATAAACTGACGCGTTACTATAAATACCCATTGGTTATTCCCTGGACCTTCATCGCTAACCAAAAAATTTTAGAATATTAATTTTAAAATATGGAAGTGACAGTTACTTTAGACAATTTTTCTTCATCAACGTGTACGCAGAATTTATTTATTATGCGTACAGGATAGCATTTTATGCGTATATGACGCATGATTCTGCATCTGGGAAATCCCTGCATTTTACAAGTTTCCGAATGCGTATGTTCATGAACTGATGGACCAAAATCAAGTTTACTTCGTAGATCTGTGTATTTCAGTGTGCTTCAAAACTTTGCATCACATTTTGATTAAAACTTAATTTTATCAAGTAAGATGATGAAATAGTCTTATAACATAAGATTTCCGGTAGTACACTGTGCACTCCAACAGTGTTTGTAGTGCTAACAGAAACATTATAGGACTACATGATCGGATGATGAACATGATGAAATAATAATAACTTAAATAAGACTCAGAGATATAATTTATCTTTATTAAACACTGTTAAAGTCATTTTAAACTTGATTTTGGTTACTCTTTAACAAATTTAACACAATTATTTTACTGATTTAACACAAAACGACGGTGAAAATAAATAAATAAATGAAAATACTTTGAGATGACCCCTTTAAAATTAAACAATGACACCAAAAAATCTGAATGTTACCTCTTTGGATAATGAATTTTCTATGACAGACCAAAATACGCCGAATATAAGCAATGCAAATCGGAAGTGATATAACCGCATTTTCAATTAGCCCAACCTACACTACAGATAACACTATATTCTCTTGTAGCCAGAATAAAATTTAGAGTTAGACACGTTCAATTTACTCCTGTCATCCATGCTTGTTTTGGTTTTGATATAATGGGAACGAGCTGAATAAAATTCTGTAATGCGATTGGTTAAAAATATACACTTTCGTTTTCATAAACATTTTTTATATAAAAACAAAATAAACATATAAAATCAAAATGCGATAAGGAATATTTCTTTAAAATGCGATAATCCTTTAATCGTTAAGGTAAAAAGTTCAGATTATTAAAATACGTATGATTTTCTCATTGGTCCTGAGTATTCATTTCATCAGCTGATGAAACTGAAACAGGAAGTGGATTGCTCCAGCAGACAGGATTATCAAGGAAAATAACACACTGTCTAGAAGTTGTGTAGTGTAGATATTCATAAGGTAAATAGTTATTTAATTTCTCAGTTGAACTGGAAACATTTATACATAGGGGCGTGTTGTAATATTTTACGAATAAACTTGTCAGACTCGGAGCTATATTTCACAGTTTTCTAAAAAAAATGGTATCAGCAACTCAGCAATGCTGTCATTATTTTGGCTTATATTGTAGGTCAATGGGGGTATCTAGAAAGCTGGTTTATGTTTAACATATGATGACATTTTTGTTTAACATATGATGACAGATCTATATCATTTATAAATATTGCTTTTGCCCGCTGCCTTTATTTTTCTATACTTTTTGATTGAATCAGGTGAAAAGGACTGATTTATTTAAGTAAAAGGTGCATTCAGATTGTTGTTGAATAATTAACAGTTCAATTTCAAATGCGCATGAATATAATCTCGGAGTCCCTAGCACTGAGTGATTAATTACAAAGCATTTAAATGAATGTATGTAAGTATGTTTTATACTATGTATGTATTCTATGCTTAATAAGGATCCATCCCACCTGTTAAGGTACAAACCCCAGACATGACACCAGTTGTGGCCTTACAGGGTAAATATTGAATGCCGCCTGTTAAGGTACAAACCACAGACATGACACCAGTTGTGGCCTTACAGGGTAAATTTTGAAGCACAAAGTAGTGATAATTACCTCCATGCAAATCCCACAGAGTATTAGCTAAAGATAACAATTTTGAGCCAAAAGCAGGTCATTGTGCAGCAGCCAATGAGAACCTAAATGTACAGTAACCTGACTCCTGAGGCAATATGAAAATGTGATAGCCCTAAAAAAAGCACCTGCCTTTCAAGCCATCACTTGTTCTGCAAGGGGCTAATGCACCCTAGCACACTTTCCTAGTCAATCCTGCCTTTTTGTAGGGCAACTCTTCTTGGCTTAGAGGTGCATTATAACACTACACCATAAGAAAAATTACAAAAACAGAAGTATTTTTTCTAACATGATTATTAAGTTTATTGATGTTACATCTGACAACATATGATATGTATAATTTTCATGCCATGCATATACATTATCCATTGTACATTATTTAATAATGTACTCATCTGTCCTGTCTGTTTAAAAAGGCAAGTTTGTGAACTTGTTATAATACTTAATATTAATCAATTTACTTTATTCCTAATAACATTGTCAAATATTCAAAGTTTTAAAAGACATGTAAGAAAAAAAGGAGATTTTAACAGTATTGAGAAGTATACATTTTTGTTTTGAAAAACTTTGACCATGCTTATAACATTTTCCAAAAATTCAATGCTACTACAACAGTAACCTGACAACCCATATGCTAGTTATAATCGTTTATGATTGTGTTACGATTGTGCATTAACATATAAATGTTGAATATAAATTTCAATAACCAGTGTGAAATTATTTTGTATCTCTATCTAAACATGGAGGTACACAGGATGCCAATTAACAGACTGCATTGCATATTTCACGCCCAAAATTCTACATGGCCGCATAAAATTTGAAGGCAGGGGCTACATGCACACAGAGTAAAATCTTTAGAAATATTGAATTTTAAATGAATGTTTAAACTTCTTATCTGCTTAATGACATAACCATCTACCTATTGTTAGGGACGGGGTTAAATGGGGTCTCATCTGCATGTCTGCTGCCAGAAATCATGTCATTGTGATTTGTTAATTTTTTAGCCATATCTTGATGTCACATCAGGGTTCGACCTTAACATAAATCACTTGGGATCCAGCAGGAATCTTCAGCTCTCAGACAAGAGATTCCTCCTCAAGTTTAAGGATCCCACATTTATGATTTTGGTCATGAATATGAATTTTATTATAACAATAACTACACGATTTTAAAGTATTTCTTGTTTTATTTTTCACCACAATTACAGAGAAGACAATAGCAATCTCATAGCTTTTGCTTGCAATATATCTCTGTCATGTTGCAGGCAACGGTTTTCTTCTTCTTCATCCTCCTCCTCTTCATCATCTTCTTCACCCAATGACTGAACAATGGTATTAATATCATACTCTACTTCTGGATGTTGTATGGTTTCATCCTCTGGTTGAGTTCTGACAACATTGTCATTGACACATCTCTGAAACATAAGACCTGGGCATTACTATCACAGATTTCAAAATAGTAATACTGAAGTAAAATAATTTGGTTAGAAGTTTCAATACTTTATTTTTATTTGATGTAAATAATTATCAAGTCCTGCAGATAACAGTCATACTTAAATAAGTTATGTTGAGTCTAATGGTGATGACCATGTCTGCCTTAAATTTACCTTTTTGGTATTAATGTATGCTAAGATTCAATAGAAATAAAAAAATAGAAAGATCCTGGATAACCTTTAAATTTCTTTCATTATGATAAGGCCTCCTTGCTCTTAGGGCACAGGAATTCCATAGGTGGACAGCAGGCTCTGGGTCATAGCTTGAAATGTCGTTTGTTTCAATACAAACTAGCATTAAGTCAGTCAAATGATCATCCCTCAGTTTGGAGCGCCAGTCACTCTTTACCATCTTCATTCTATAATATAGTGAAGAATATATACAGTCTAACAAAATTTAAACCATAACCAGTAAAGACTGGTTACAACAGAAAACCAATGAAGAAAAATGATATTGAAATTTATTACAGACATAAACTCATACCTTGAAAACCCTCATTCTGCATCATCTGAGCTTGAAGGAAGTGTCTGTAGGTATGTGACTAAGCTAAGCATGTTTGGGTATTTTGTATGCAGTTGTTCCCACAGTTGTTTCCATGTCAAGCTATGTACATGTATGTCCCTGTTGCTATTAAAAAAAACGAATATGTAATATATGTAAATGAAATTGCTAACCAATAAAGAATTGCATCAGGATGTCAATTGTATAATATACTTTTAAAGTTAAATTTATGGCAATAATTGATTTCCTAGCTGAAATTATTATGATAAGGACAGTGAATAGCTACTTAAACATTGGATATACCTGTTGTACAACTCTGTTTTCAGTCTTGACCATTCATGTTCTATGTTGTCAACTTCAACATTAGCTTCTTTGAGGCTTGACTCACAAACTGCCAAAACAGACTGTATGTCTTTATCACCAAACTCATCTGAAGACAGGAAATTAGTTTTAAAGTTAATCAACTGACTTTTAATGACAAAAAATGTGTACTTACTGGCTATTGGTGAAGCAATTTTTATGTATGATGTTAAGGATGTGCATGAACTGCAATAGTAATCAGTTAATTACTTCTTACATCAAATCAAGTTGCTTGGTTTAATCACAATACCTAAATCTCTTCGTACCTATTCCATCATTTGAAAACTGTGACATGTACTGTTGTAAGAAAAAATTTCAGATATAGATATTTACAACAACTGCCCACAAGTATTTTGAGTTATGTCAGCTATATTGCTAGATAACAGCCTCAAGTGATGAGTCTGTGCCTGTGTTAGTTGTGATACTAAGTGAAACAGCTGTTCATTTATATCATGAGCTGATATTTTTCTTAATTATTTATAATTTGTATATGAATTATTATACAAACCAGTTTGAACTTCTGTGCACCCCTAAATTTTGAAATGTACCCCCATTTTTCAATAACAGGTGGCACATGTACATTTGAAATTGAGTTAGTATGCTGCCTTATTACCTTTTGGATTGGGAACACAACTCTATAGCTTCTCAATATGGGCCAAAAACAACAACATGTAATATTCAAATTAATGTAATAAGAGAAACCCATGTTTTGGCTTATCAAGGCCACAGTTATTACCAATATTTCTGCCATAAATGTTCATAACAATCTTTGCTGTGATAAAGTTGATATGACTATCAGTTACTAGTATTAAGTAGACATATCAGCTGTTGAAGTATAACTGTAATGGGATATGAAACTTGCTCTCTAATCATAAACCAATTTATCTGTTAAACAATAGGGAGCTATTTATCTTGTATTATACAGCAGGAATGAATAAGGGCAAGGTCATTTGCTAACTTCAGGTAAATTTAACCCAAAAGCAGAAAATCATAATATTTTATCATGTTACAATGTAATTGTATGCCATTTTTTCAACTTAATATTTCTTCCTTTTGTTTTGTAGTCTATAATAATATAACAGTGAAAAATTTTTTTTTTTTTTTTTTTTTTTTTTTTAATATATTGATATTTTATTGTATAAATAACAAGGTCAAACACATTTTAGGTCAAATCAATGCCACTAGCACCTGTGCTTAAAACTAGCGATTTTAAAGAAAGAAATATTTTTATTTTGTTATAAGTATCCAATAAATTACAACGCATTCAAAGTTTAAAAGTAGCGTTGTCTTATACAATAATTATTGTCAATAAATGCACAATCACAAATTACGCGGATGAATTTGATTTTAATCAATGAAAATGCTATTTTTAGCGATGTCGATTACCGAATACTACACAAATTAATCTGACTGCCGAGAAGTGGAATATATAGATTTTACATGTTGGACTGTTTCGGCGAGAAGATCTTTTCGCTAAATTATTTACTTCAATTTTAAACAACAGCGTTATCCTGAACAAAATATTACGAAATTAGTAAGGATTACAAACCCGGAATGCAATGGAAGTTCTAAATTTAGAATGACTAGATTTTATTCAGGCATCGTTTATATAACTTCTCCGTGGTGCAGGGGTAACGCGCTCGTCTAGTGTGTGAGAGGTCTGGAGTTCAAATCCCAGTCGAGGCAACTTTTTTTAAATTCTTTTTTAAGTGTCTTTGTTAAGGAAGTAGCCATGATATACAAGGATAAAGTGTGGCTGTCATAAAAAATGAACATAAATGATATTTTGATGCAACTCTACTGTACTGGGATCCTACATATTACCGGACAAAAAATGAATTTTTTTATTTGTAACTTTTATTTAAAATAATAAAGAGGAATGGAATTTTACCCAAGTAATTTTGGGTTCTTCATGCACAAAACATTCCTTTATCAAACATGAAATTAAACATTTGACCGTAGAAATGTGTCTTAAAAGTAGGGCATTATAAAAAGAAAAAAAATCGTGTAGACAACTCAATTTACCGGACATAGTGTTTCAAAACCTTTTGAAGTCGTGAAATGAAATTAATCTTTAATTAGCATCAGAACCGACTATTGAATGGCAAGGTTAATATATTTGAAAAACCCAGTAATTGTCACTAGAAACAGACACGGCAGCCATGCCTGTTATGAAGAGGCCAATATATAGGGTGTAATTGAAATTAACACTATTAACTCAATTAATGTATTGATTCTCCATGATCTTTGAACGTATGAAACATTTTGATATTCAAATGGAATTCTGTTCTTTGTCATACAGTTATACCTGTTGGTCATCATGAAGCATGTTACAAAAGCCATAAAATCTATTTTATTTACAATTCATGTAGAGTTTCCTCCCATGGGCGTAACCCGTTTCTTTATATGTTTTTTAATTTGCACTTCTTTGTAAAAGACAACAACAAGATACTGTCAAGATTAAATTAAAAATTACTTTTTATCATTAAAATATGTTACGATTATCTCTTGAGGTAACATTGAAAAGAATTAAAAGTAAAACCTATCGAAATTAACCCATTAAGGGTCTCCATATTCGGGCCTGCGCAGAACAGATTATTCCCCGGCATGACCAGGTCATGAAATAACTAGTAAACAAAAGGACATGTTAGTAGATAAAGAACTGAATCAACAATATTTACTTGAGAGTGGTTTTGTTGTTATTTACTTTGAAATAGAAAGTGTGTGTACAATTTAGACTGTATGATTTTTGAATCAAAGCAAAAAGTAAAGCACTATTCGGCAGTAATAGCGTTTGTCCGGTAAACTGATTGTCCGGTAAACATGTAGGATCCCAGTAGTTATGCAAAATTCCGTATGTATCAAACTCTGGTGCCTTGCAAGATGAATTATAGTACATAAAAATAAACTTATACAGGAAAATGCATACAGATATACAGTATGATTTAGATTGCAAAGATCAGAAAATACCACAGAGCTTGCAGCCCTTTGATTTGACTTTGGATATCAATGATAATTCACTACTGCTATCAAAGACAGGTGTTTTACAATTTGTGTGCAGAAATATGCCACTTTTACTACATACCTTTATTAAACTATCCAGCACTGAGAAAAGTTAAAACACTGTCCCAGTATTTAATTAATATATATTTTGAAAATTTTGACTGACCTCTCTGCGTTATACATTTTGTATAATCGTACATAATTATATGGCTTTACTTTAATGTTGGTGAGTTAAGTGATTTCTTTATATGAACATGTATACATGTAACATGTACATGTACCTTTACTGACTTACCTGTTATACAGATTTCTATCATACTTACTTAACATGTACAATGTAGGTTATATTGGGATTGATCAGTGATGTAATATTGATGTAATGACAATCTAACTTAAGAAAAAATGTCTTGAAACTGCTATGTCATCAATCACCCACAGAATTCCAAGTAAAAGGACATCATGCATGCATTTATTGTGACTTTGTAAAAATTGATTTATGATATTAACAACAAGATGGAACATTTTCACACTGACTTTGAATATTATTACTCTCACTGTAGGCATTTTCTTTGTGATATTTTCCAGAAAGGACAGAAAATCTGTTCCTTGTAAATGCATGTTATTGAACGTATAAAAACACTAAAAATTCCAGGTGACTGACTATAAAAGGAATGGCAAAACATCAATATTGCATTATTGTAATGCAGGAGATAGAATATAGTCAGTTTTCCAAGTAGACCTTGATACAACAATGCATACTTTAGATAAATGTAAATGTAAGATATTGTCAATATGTTGCACTGAAGCAATGAAAAAAAAATGCCTAGTACAATAATAGATTGACACATGGTGGATGTAAGAATTGAGGGATTATTTGATTCCCTTGTACGGATGCCAACTGTGATCATATTTCAAAATTGATTGTAGAAATAAAAGGTCCAGAAGAGCAGGTTTGAAAATAAGATGATGATTCCATTGTTAAATGTGTTGCTTATTTCCTATCATTATTATGAAAATTTAGGTAATTTTTAATGTTCCTTTTGTACATACTTTTGTAACATAATTATACATTGTACATTTTGGTTTCTTATACTTTCTATACGCTTGAAAATATTTCGAAGTCTAATGTTATGCACCTGGTTGTCTGACCGTCTGTTTGCAGTTTTGTGTCCAGTCTGTACCTTTTGAACCAGTTGAAGGAAATTGGAGAAATGTTAACCATAATGAATTGATGTACAGAGCACAGGTTTGACCCTTTTCAGGTTAATATCACACTTAGTCATTTTGTATTCAAAATTTTGTGTCCGCTCTGTATCTTTTGAACCAATCGGAAGGAATTAAAACTTTTTGGTGGAAATATTACTTATAAGGAGACGATGTGGAGAACACAGGTTTAGGCTTCCTGAGATCAAAATACATGTACTCACTGTAACCTACCATGGTTCACAAAGTAAAGTCAATTAAATGTTAAACTAGTATTTTAGAATTAATTCATTTGGATTTTCTTTTTTCAGGACATTTTAACTGATACTATAGAAGATCCTCTGATGTCCTGAAAATATTCTCTAGATGTTAATGACTGTAAAATGAGTAAAAAACCAGTGCCCCCTCCTAGACCTCCTGCTCCAAAGGTAGGAGGTGGAGGCATAAGTTTCAGTTTTAAAGCTCTGGAGGAAGAGGATGAGGAAGAGCTGACCCATGTCACTGGAAAATTCGACAAACAGGTCAATGAAGAGAAAGTGCGACATGCTCAGGACCGAGAAAGGTCATTGTCAAAATCCCCGGAAGTAAGATCAACTCTTGAAGAGCATATGGAAAAATCTCCTTCCATAAGAAGTCAAAACTCATTTGAAAAGCTTAAAGACTTTAAAGATAAAATTCAGTCTGAAATACAAAAGAAAAAAGAGGAAATATTTACTGATTCTCCTGTAGCAGCTTCAAAGGAAAAACAAAGGATTAGTGCCATTAAAGAGAAACCTAACCAGCTTGGAAACATGCCTGAAGAAAATGAAGCAGAGGTTAAGGACAAGGAAAAGTCAGAAGAATATTTTGAGAGTTCAAATGAACATGATCAGAGTAATGAGACTGATTTCTTTGACACTAAGTCAGATGCTAAAGATGATTCAGCAGATGTAGACCAATTAGAAATCAATGAAGAGTATTTTAAACCAACTGAGGAAGATTTCTCAGATCTTCCAGGAGTTGTACCAATGGTTCGGCAAAGAAAACATTTTCAAAAACTTCGCAAAATCAAACCTATCGTTCCAGTGGCTCCAGTATCAATGGCAAAACTTAGTCAAAAAGCACCAGAAGTTGAAACCGTTTCAAGTAGTTCGGACTCTGAAAAACCAAATGATAATAAAGATCAAGTTGACACAGATAAAAAGACTGAGTCCGCATTACACATACCTGGAACAGTTATACCTGTGAAGCCGGTTTTGGGATGTATGGTATTTCTATTTCTTTATTTACTTATTCCTCTGCCATCATATCTAAGTGGGATGGTTATTGGAATGGTGCTGAGCTCTGCTGGATGGATGTTATACTTCTGGGTGACAGGGTCAAACAAACCAAGGGAGCCTATTCCAGAGGATCCACCTCTTGATAAGTTGCCACCCATGCCTGTCCCAGAAATGAAGGAACCCAAAGGAGATGATTGTTGTTACAAGGTAAGCTTCATGAAAACATTTTGTTTAATTAATATTAGTCTATGGATATCACTTTGAGTTTTAAGGCTGTTTGTTTAAGTGTTCCCATTTAGGATTAATTTGACACAACGGTCACATATATAATATTGCATGCTTTCCCAGAAACTAACTTCATGCTTGGAATTCATCACAATATTGAAATTATTCTGATGGTTACCAACCAGAGAGAAGCTTTTACTATTTCTTTCTTCTATGTATGTGGAGTCGTATCCATTTATTTTGATAAGATTTACATTAATAGACTATGCATGATTCCTCTTGATAGAAATTGAGCTCTCCCACATTTCCCAGATATTGGTATAATGGCAGTCTATTTTATTACTTCATTACTGAAATGCCAACTTGATAAATGAAATTATGAAAAATATCCACAACATCTAATTATCTGGAATTATTCTCTGAGGTATGGTTTCTCATAATGATCATAAATGACAAAAAAAATGCAGGAATAATTATGGATAATTCAAGCATGCTTGATTTATTGAAATGTCACATTCAGTATGACTGAGTCTATGGCTAGTTAAACCTTTTCATTTTTAGCAGATTGCAGCCGAAGTATATTACGGTACTTTGATTTCCTGATAAATTCATGTGATAATAGTTTTTTTTAGAAGAGTAGTCCACATTTTATACGATATTAGATGACATTGGATACAACTTAGTCGGTTTAATTTAAACACATATCTGCTAACCATACTGTTTACTGTTTCAAATTGGTATCAAAGGCAAGGAAAGGTTAGAGGGGAGAGGTTAAGTTAGAGAATTTTATTTGCAGTGTTTCAAATAAGTCAAATAAATTCAAATACAGTCAGCCAAAGACATAATATTAAATCAGGGTCTTTCAAAAAGCTTTGATAGACCCTGATTATATGTATCATGATTAATTTGTGAATATCTTCGAAAGAACTTGCTATTTATTTCCAACTTTATCTTTACCACTTTCAATTTAAAATTGAATAAATTGATGATGACTCTGCACTTTTCAAATTTTTCCCTTCCATATTTAGAAAATTCTGAGTTAAACGTTTTTAAACTTATTTGTTTGTACAGTCAATTAAGATTGAAGAATAAACAAAGCTATTATCTTGCATGTTTTAAATTTGTTTTATAGGGATGGATGAATGAGATAATAGACTATAGTCCAGAATCATATTCTATCAACAACACTCATTCTGTTTATGTACACCTTGACGGAACAACGTTAAGGTTACGCAGGCCGAGAATAAACATACCAAGGCGCGCCATGTGGGATGAGCAAAGCTACAACCCGCAGTTTATTCATCAACGGCATTTTGATATTATCGGCAGTAAAGTGCTTTTACTACCGTCGGGACTTGTTAAGAAAAGACTTTGGAGTAAGAAATATCCTCTTTGCATTGCTCTAGCAAAGGATGGCAGAAAGATAGCTAAGCCAGAATCTAGTTCCAATCTGAATAGCAATGGGAACCAGGCAACTGGTAAAATGAGTGCCAGTCATAGTGCGGATTCCTTTCATGGGTTTGAAGTGGTAAATGATCATAAGTGTGATTCTTCCATTTTGTATTTGTTTGCAAGGACCTGTAGAGAGAAAGAACAATGGTATAGACGTCTTGTTGCGGCTACTAACGGAATGCCAATGAAGAATCATATTCGAGAGGTAAAAAGATTGATTGAAAGTTCAAAGTCTAGTTATAAGCGGTCAAGTAGTACAGACAGTTTAAGACACAAGCGTCAAAATTCATCTGATTCACTTTCATCAGTTAGTACAACAGCATCAAATTTGGAAGATACCAGTGAAACCGATCTCAAGAATTTTGTGATGTATATGTCAAGGTTAATTCCCCGTGATAAGGATAGTCTCCCTTCTAGTCCGGTCCATGCTTTAGCTGGAAAGGAAAAAGATATGAAACATAGTGATTCAAAATCAAGTATTGTGGGAGGCCAAGGGTCAAAAAGTATTGTATGTGAACCAGCATTACTTCCCCTGAATGCTCTTCTTGGGAGGTGTTTCTGGGATTTCCTTGGCGACCAGTACTGGGCGAATAAGGTGCGAGACAAACTGCAGAAGAAACTTACAAAAATTCATGTGAGTAGATATTTGCCTTAATTTACTTTGTTGTTCTTGGTATTCCTTCTTATAGTGTTTAGTATGCTCTCATTTCAGGTTCAATATTAATTCTTGATTCCTAAGTTATAGAATAGAAAAAAATGTTAAAATGCCTGTGTCTTTTATAAGCAATTAATAATCAATTTTAATTTTGAAGTAAATCAATGGTCATTTAACCCTGTAAAGTCATTTGAACCTCTAAACAGTTTCTTGAACAACGATGTAAGTTTATTTTACAATAATGGAGATAATCATCAATTTAATGCAGGTCTTATATATTGATTTTTGAAATAAATAACATTTTGAAATGTTCCCCATATTAAACAAAAACATTGAACCTATTAAACAAAAACATTGAACCTAATTCAATTATAAAGTTAAACTTTATATGCCTCAAGGCTAATGACAACAGTGTATTTGATAAATTTAACTCCATAGTTTTGCTAAGTTGAATAAGTATGAATTATAAATATATATAAATTAAAAATGTATATATATATTAATTGGCAAAATAAAAATTCCTATTTGCATATATTTAGAATTAATATATGTATGATATTTATGCATATTTGCATGACATTCATGATTACTTGATAAATCTAAAAATAGATATTACTTGGAAAGAAAAAAAAAACAACATACAAACATACAATTATTGTATATTATGTGTCCATATTTATAAATGTACATATGAAACTGAAATATGTTGTTTTGCAATCTTGCATTGCATTATTTACTTCAGTCTAAGAATAGATATATACAGGAAAACATGGCCAACATTGATTGTTGTTACAAATGTATATACTAATTTATATTCAAGTCATAAATACAGATGGTGCTAGTCAATAAATGTATAATAAAGATTGTATATTGCATATTAGATATGAGATAGATGATAGGTATGTGGAGGTTAAACTTTCCAAGGCAGGTGCCTGGGGGCTCATATTGTTAAGTAAGGACTGGGTAGTTGGTACATGCAATTTAAAGGTTTTTGCAAAGTTTGCCTCTTGTATTATTATGTTGATATCATTTAGTGAGTCAAGGATGACAATCTGTATTTAATTTTAACCGTTAGCCTGCTGGTGGCAACAAGTTTTAACACAACCCGTGCGCCCAAAACGCAGGGTTGCAGAACCCAAGATAAAAACTTGGGTATACCCATAATGGTTTGTCTGGGTCATGGTCTGCAACATGGGTTCCTTTTATAAATTCAGTATGTCAGAAACCACAGTGGTTTCATTAACATACTTTCAAAAACAAATTTAGTTTTATACAAGAATATCACTTTTTAACCATTTTATTGCATTATAAAATCTGCAGAACCCAGTAGGACTTTATTTAAGCCCAAACCAAGTCCATATGCTTTTGTAGATCGCCAATGTCCATGCATTGAAAACAGTGCATTAACCCTTAAGCAAGATAAGTCCCACTTATGGTAGTTGAGAATTACATTCCTTAAGTAATGTAATAATAATACAGATGATAATTGGTGAGAATATTCATTTTATTGCTAATATTCTTTAAAGATGAATTTTATATTTGATTATTTAGCATGGTCGTATTTCCCTACTCAATAACATTAGATTTAACCACAAACAAGAACATGATTATGCTCTTTTGTTAACAAATCTGTTAGGAGGAAATTCAAAAAATGTTGTGTTGAAATTCTTATTGTTTCCGCTTATCTGATAATTAGAATTATATCTGATAATTAGAATTAAGATAGGCCAGGGATCTATGCATTATTTTTTTTGCAACAAATGATTTTAAGAAAATTCAATGGTCAGAATTTTTTCTTCATTAATATCTTACACAAAAATTGGTAGCAAAGTTTTTACTGTCACATTATTTAAAGTAAAACATTTTTGAACCAAAACTTAAAGAATAGGTAAACCCTGATGGGTGACTGTGACTGCTATGGCTGCCCTGTTTAATGGAGAACTGCACGAAATGTCATGTTTTGTTGAATGACAGCTTGTGGCAATTGATTAGTGCATTTATATAAGATGAAGTTTTCCCACTAATGTTGCAACTAATCAATAATATTGTTGTTTTGTCAACGCTTAATTACTTGCTAAATTCAAGATGTAAAACGGCATTGTCAATAATAAATCAATGCTCTCATGTGATACATAAGCAATATTTCTGTGATTATAAGGTTTCATACATCAATAAATCCTGCCATATCTTATTAGATCAAGAACTATGATACATTGTTGTTTTTTGAATGATGCTTAGTCTGGAATATACAATTGTCATTAGCGAATTTTTTTTCTGGACTAAATATAGTTATTAGAGAGTTTTTCTACTCATCTGGGAATCCAGGTTCACCTCAAGGCATCTGAGTCCATGTCAGTGTCTTTTTTTTCCAGTATTGGTTTGAAACGTAATATTGCATATCACAGCCATGTAAAAAGTACATGATTCTGTCATTGTTTTTACAAAATTATTCCCTCCTTTTTAGCTCGACTTTTCTATGAAAAGGGGAGCTATCCTACTCGCCCCGGCGTCGGCGTTAGCGTTAGCGTTGGCGTCACACCTTGGTTAAGTTTTTCGTACCACCCCACTTTATTTCAGAAGTATTACAAGTATGGCTTTGAAACTTACCATACTTGTTCACCATCATAACCTCCATCTACAGACAAGAGTACATAACTCTGTCAAGGTTTTTGACAGAATTATGGCCCTTTTTTGACTTAGAAAGTGTATTGAGCTTGGTTAAGTTTTTTTGTACCACCTCACTTTATTTCAAAACCATTGGAGGTATTGCTTTGAAACTGACCATACTTGTTTACCATCACGACCTTCATCAACAGACAAGAGGACATAACTCTGTCAAGGTTTTTTGACAGAATTATGCCCCTTTTTGACTTAGAAAATACATTGAATATGGGTAAAATCCACTTATTGCCTTAACCCTTTGAGATATTGCTTTGAAACTTTTAATGCTATTTCACATCATTACCCCCATCTGTACGCAAGAGAAGGTAACTCTGTCAAGGATTTGTTTTAAAAATTAAGGCCTTTTATCGACTTAGAATCTTGGTTAAGTTTTTAGTACCAGTCCACTTTTTGACTGAACTGTTTGAGATATTAATTTGAAAGTTGGAATACTTGTTTACAATCATGATTCCCAAACATGTCCAGGAGAAGGTAATTCTGTCAAAGATTTTATTTGAATTATGGCCCTTAACTGTCAATGTTTTGTATTATAGGCAAGCACTAAAAAACTTTGCTGCAGTGTTCAAGGGTATCACACAATTCAGTAAAATAATTCTTCACTAAATATCTTAATGCTCATGGCCATTGTTCACTTTAAAAATACAGAGATTCTTGTATTGCCTTTTACTGCAAAAACTTTTTTTATTGGCAAGCAATAAAAAAGTCGAGCGCGCTGTCTTACGGACAGCTCTTGTTATTTCACTTTTCACAGAACACCTTGAGTTAGTATTGGTTTGAAATAGAATACACTAAAAGTGACTATAGTATTATCATTGAAATTATTTTTGAATGTTCATGGGATAAAAATGTTGCAGTCACGAATTAAGATCTTAGTGAGTGTTTATTAAAAGCTTACATTCCCGTAGGAAATTCTATAATGCCTCAGATGTCCCAAAATCAGTAATTAGTGTGAAACAAGCCTCAAGTTTGATATATTTATTAGTTTTTGGGTCTTCTTCCTTGGTAAACCAGAACTGCTTTGATTGTTGTTTTGGTAGGGCTTGAATTATGCAAGGTGAGGTTTGGAGGGAGACACTTTAATGACTTGGCAGCACTTCTTTTGCTGCTTACATACGACAGTTTTTATTTTGCTGGGTATTATATGTAATACAGTTGTATTTAAAGCTTTTAAATGTAACTTATGAATTGAGAATACACATATATTATTTTATTGTATATTAAAAAACAATTCACAACTTCAGATTTCACTCAATGCATGCACAAATATATGAGGACTTAAGGGTACAATGTAGTTATATAAGATACATTGTAAGTAGACTAATTTTGTGCAGCATCAATCAATACCATTGTCAGATATATTCATTATATCATTATCAAGAATATAGGAATCAACCAAGGGCTACATTGTTTTTGTGTTTTTAAGAAAACTGAGTGAAATGGAGAGAGTCAGTGACTATTTTTGTCAAGTTGCCTGAAAACATGATCTCTTCTTTTTTTTAAATTCAATGAATTGTACATCATGCGATAGTTTGGAATGATCAAATAGTTTAATAAAAAACCATGAATGACGAAGCACTTTACTTCTTGTAATGTAAAAATGCAGACTGAAACAAGAGTTGCAATATTGGAACAGACAATCATTGGATAGGACAATGTCATCAATAAAGAAATGAATAGATTGTAAATGGATCCAGGGCTCACGCTGTCGGCCGCCATAGTCGCCATTTGCGATTATTTTATAAGATTGGCGATTATTTTTGCATTTTGGCTACAAAATCTGGCGATTATTTTTTACTTCCAACAGTGTTTATATAAGGTGTAAAAATCGATAAAGAATGCAGTAGACCTAAATAACACCAGCGGGGTGGATTTAATTGAGTGTCAACTTTTTACCGGTCACGTGCTGCTTACTATATTGCCCGAGGTGATAAAATACATGCGAGATGTATAATTGATGTATAATTGTATAAGTACTTTAAAGATATTGTCCAGCATTTATAATAGCCATCAAATATCCGTCAATTAGCCACAAAAACTGTTTTACAATTGATTAACTGGATATTGACTTACCCAAAATTTACCGTGAATTGCAAATTTTGATTTTTTTGGTTTTAAGCTACTTGACTAAATCGCCAGTGGAAAACAATAGTAAAATATTTAAAAAGTATTAACTTCCAAACAACTATCTGCACAACAACCAAAATTGTGAATATTTCTTCAGAAAAAATCCGATTGTCACATATTTTCGCGACACCGATAATTTTGATATTTATTTAAAGGTGAAATAAGCTATGTTCTGTTTAAAAATCTTTACTACTATGGCAGAAAATTTGTATTACATTGGTGATGATGATATTTTTCAGTAAATTATTCAGAAAAAAGGCAACATTCTGAGAATGAGTTTGCAAACTTGTGTTATTTCTATAGGCTTAGATATGACCTAGATCTTCTCCAGTTCTGTGTGAAATGTGGAAATTGACAGTGGTTATGGCTGACAGAATTTAAATAGAACAAACAAAAGAAGTTGTCTGATAACAGCATTATGTAAAGTTATAATGAATCTTTAATATTATTGTGAAACAGTAATTATACTAATTACAACGTCTTTATTCTGTTCTATAATAAAAATTAAAGTTGTGGTTCTATTTTAAAACAAGAGCTGTCGGTAGGACAGCAACGCTCGACTATTCTTGTGCTTGATAGTAAAAAAAATGGCTGATACAGTTACCTCCTCCTGTCTACAGGTTGGGGTCATGAGGGTGAACAAGTGTGCAAAGTTTCAAAGTCATATGTCAATGGACTTTGAAAATATTTGAACTATTACAAAAACTTTAACGTAAATTCTAAGTCGAAAAAGGGGCATAATTCTGTCAAAATGCTTAATAGAGTTACCTCCACCTGTTTACAGGTTGGGGTAATGATGTTGAACAAGTGTTCAAAGTTTCAAAGCCATATGTCAATGGACTTTGAAAATATTTAAACTATTACAAAAACTTTAACGTAAATTCTAAGTCGAAAATGGGGCATAATTCAGTCAAAATGCTTAATAGAGTTACCTCTTCCTGTCTACAGGTTGGGGTCATGATGGTGAACAAGTGTGCAAAGTTTCAAAGCCATATGTCAATGGACTTTGAAAATATTTGAACTATTACAAAAACTTTAACGTAAATTCTAAGTCGAAAAAGGGGCATAATTCTGTCAAAATGCTTGATAGAGTTACCTCCTCCTGTTTACAGGTTGGGGTCATGATGTTGAACAAGTGTGCAAAGTTTCAAAGCCATATGTCAATGGACTTTGAAAATATTTAAACTATTACAAAAACTTTAACGTAAATTCTAAGTCGAAAAAGGGGCATAATTCAGTCAAAATGCTTAATAGAGTTACCTCCTCCTGTCTACAGGTTGGGGTCATGATGGTGAACAAGTGTGCAAAGTTTCAAAGCCATATGTCAATGGACTTTGAAAATATTTGAACTATTACAAAAACTTTTACGTAAATTCTAAGTCTAAAAAGGGGCATAATTCTGTCAAAATGCTTGATAGAGTTACCTCCTCCTGTCTACAGGTTGGGGTCATGATGGTGAACAAGTGTGCAAAGTTTCAAAGCCATATGTCAATGGACTTTGAAAATATTTGAACTATTACAAAAACTTTAACGTAAATTCTAAGTCGAAAAAGGGGCATAATTCTGTCAAAATGCTTGATAGAGTTACCTCCTCCTGTCTACAGGTTGGGGTCATGATGGTGAACAAGTGTGCAAAGTGTCAAAGCCATATGTCAATGGACTTTGAAAATATTTGAACTATTACAAAAACTTTAACATAAGTGGTTACGCCGACGCCGACGCTCGGGTGACTGCAATAGCTCTACTTATTCTTATCGAATAGTCGAGCTAAAAAGGTAGTTTATATCAATATACACAAATTAATGTATCAGTTTATTTGAGAATCCTTATCAAACTGAAAAAAGTTTTATATAAATGTAATGTTTATTTAATCAACTGCTTATGTTGTTAATCGCTAATTCGTGAATAGTCCGCTGAACTTTTGGCTATTATTTTTTTAAGTTGAAAATATTGGCTATTATTTTATTTGAGCCAGTGTGAGCCCTGTGGATCTCATCAGTATATGCATGTGATTTAGGAATTAAGCCCATATCAGGAACATCTGTCTATCATATATCAGCTTAGGCTAGGCTTTGTCGGTCAGTTAGTCATAATATTGGTTTCACAACTCTCATTACATCAGAGTATAAAATATTATTGTACATGTATATACAAATGTATTCAGAAAAACCATGCAGTTTTCATTAAAAAAATCTGCTTTTTGAAGGCTTTTTAATTTCTTACCATAAAAGTGCAGTTATGTTAAAAGTTTACATATATTTTCAAATTCTTATTGAATAATTTCCTCAGAAAAAGATTATTTCACATTCACTGTAGATAAGAAAATTTTCAACCCATTCAGCTCATAGAACTGCCCTTGCCAATTGGCTTGCATCAATAACTATCCCCCGCCGATGGAATCGGGAGGGGGATATAGTTTTGGCGTTGTCCGTCCGTCCGTCCATCCGTCCGTCCGAATTTCGTTTCCGGAGTAGCTCTCTGCAACTACTGCATGGAATTCAACGAAACTTTATGGGAATCATCAATATCAAGAGGAGATGCGCATCTGACCGTCTGTTCGTCCGTCCATCCGTCCGTCCGAATTTCGTTTCCGGAGTAGTTCTCTGCAACTACTGGCTGGAATTTAACGAAACTTTATGGGAATCATCAATATCAAGAGGAGATGCGCATATCGTCGGCTTGTTCCGGTCAGACACTTTAACTCAGAGTTATTGCCCTTGATTAGTTATGTAGTATGCATATAGAGTAAAAATCGTTTCCGCGCTACTTCTCTGCAACTACTGGCTGGATTTCAACAAATCTTTATGGGAATCATCAATACCAAGAGGAGATGGGCATATCATCGGCTTGTTCCGGTCAGACACCTTAACTCAGAGTTATGGCCCTTGATTAGTTATACAATATGCATATGGAGTAAAAATCGTTTCCGCGCTACTTCTCTGCAACTACTGGCTGGAATTCAACGAAACTTTATGGGAACCTTCAATACCAAGAGGAGATGAGCATGTTGTCGGCTTGTTAGGGTCAGACACTTTAACTTAGAGTTATGGCCCTTGATTAGTTATACAATATGCATATGGAGTAAAAATCATTTCCGGAGTAGTTCTCTGCAACTACTGGCTGGAATTCAACGAAACTTTATGGGAATCATCAATATCAAGAGGAGATGCGCATATCGTCGGCTTGTTCCGGGCAGACCCTTTAACTCAGAGTTATGGCCCTTGATTAGTTATGTAGTATGCATATAGAGTAAAAATCGTTTCCGCACTACTTCTCTGCAACTACTGGCTGGAATTCAACAAAACTTTATGGGAACCTTCAATACCAAGAGGAGATGCACATATCATCGGCTTGTTCCGGTCAGACACTTTAACTCAGAGTTATGGCCCTTGATTAGTTATGCAGTATCCATATAGAAAAATATTTGTTTCCTTGCTTCTTCTCTGCTACCACCGGCTGGAATTCAATGAAACAAAATGGGATACTAAGAGGAGATGTGCATATAGTCGCCATGTTCCAGTCAGATACTTATAACTCAGATTTATGGCCCTTGATTAGTTATGTAGTATGCATACATCTCATTGGCATTTCCAGATTTTACTATTTAACACAAAGTTATGGCTCTGTTATTTCCCTGAATATTTATCAAGTTCAAAGAATATTACTGTTTATGCCATGATTAATATATAAATAAAGCCTTATGTCTTCAGTTGTTGTGTTAATAATAACCAGTACTCGGCGGGGGATATAAATTCAACAATTTGCTTGTTTTGACTTTGAATTAGCCTGTTTCTATACTGACATCCATTTATTCCAATGTTAAAAAAGCCATTTCTGATCAAAACATGCAGAACAGGTAAATGTGTAATGTATAGGTTGAAAATGGTCTAAATGACTCTCCCAAATGTCAAATCTTTCATGTGAGACTTTGCATCATTTCTATCAGCCCTGATCTCGCTGCCTATAATGCATGATGCTATATTCATTTAGCATTTATGAGAAACCTGTTGTTGTTCAATGAAATATTTATGTGTATGGATGGTATTTAAACATTTGCTGATTGTTATCCTGGTACATTGTGTTTGTGAATTATTATTAGTCTGGCCATAGGTAAAATATGTTTTGCTCAACTGAAAGTATATCCAATATACAATTTGCTTCCTTTGTCAAAAATACAAAAAATGTGATCTTATTATTTGCATTGGTTTTTTTTTTCAGATCCCATATTTTATAGAAGAATTACAGATCAGTAAAATCTCCCTGGGATCGGAGGTACCTGTGATAAGACGAGCCAATAAACCGTTCCTGGATGAGAATGGCTTCTGGATTGATCTCGATGTTACATATAGCGGGAAGTTTAAAATGACCATAGAAACCAAAGTAAATCTACTGAAACTTAAAACCTCCGCAAGTCAATCGGAAAGTAAAAAGAGCAAAAAGTGAGTTTGTTATGGAATTATTATATGCAATATGGCTGTCTGTTGTCAACCAGAATCTTCCTTGTCTATTGACGTGGTAACTTAAGTAAAAGCTTGTGTTATTTGAGTAGTTTGCAACTGTCTACAAATAGGTAACTCTATAAAATTAAACATAGTGATTTTTGCAAAATGGATAGATTTTCTGAACATGTGGTGATCTGATATGCTTAAAAAAGAATATAGATCCTTAAACACTTCACATTTTTCTTGTATGGTTTTCTTTCCCAAAGCAGCTTGCATCATGTGTATCATATAAAATCATTTTAGAATGATTCGCCATGCATTTATATTGAAAGCGAATCTGATAATAAACTGGAAATCAATTTACAATTTATAGTTACCAATTTTTCCAGGGTAGCAACCATGGTGGCTACTTGAAAAGCATTGGTAAAATCTGTTGTAATGGAAAATGCTGATGAAATTTCTAATATCCCAAAAGACCAAAGGTCAATTAAGACCTTGGCTCTAAGGACCAAAGGTCTAAGACCTTGGCTTTTGGGCTTTACTTCTGACTTGTATGATAGAAAAATAGTTTGCCTTTTGATAGTAATCAAACTGATGAGATATTTTGTTTTGAAATACATAAGGTCAGGGGTAAAGGTTATTTTATTTTATCTTCTTTATTTTCAAGGTCAGCAATAACAGATAGTGAAGAGGAAGACAGTGCTGAATCTTCTACAGATGAGGAAGATGAGCCTGTTAATCTTGCTGAGGATGGGTAAGTTTATATTTTCCGTAGCCTTTCAAAGGTCATAGGTCAAAGTTCATAATTATGTGATGTAAAATGCAGGATTGAAAAATATAACTTCATTAAGAGATATACATGTACAAGTGTATTTTTTTCTGAATACTAGTGCTTTAATGTGTATCTTCTGAATACTAGTGCTTTAATGTGTATCTTACGCCACTCAGTGTAAAGCCATTAGAGCCTGCACCAATCTGACTGCACTTGTTGAGCATTGATAATGAAATCCCTCTAACAAATGATGAAATGTTCCATTTTCGAAGCATTATAAATCTATTACATTGTACATTTATTAAGCGGGCTGAAGGTTAATTAAACTATAATTTATCATACAGGTCTGCTCAATCTGGTGGAACTGGTAAGAAGATTTTGAAGTACATTAATAAGATAACTGCTTCCAAGTATTTCCAAAGTGCCACAGAGAATAAATATATAAAGAAGGCTATGACAGAGGTCTCGAACACGCCCCTCATTCTCACTGTAGAGGTGCAGAAGTTGAGTGGCACACTGGCTGTGAATATACCACCCCCACCATCAGATAGACTCTGGTAGGTTTATAAACATTTACTCTTTCATAATCAATAATATTTTGTAACAGTTGTTACATCATCACAATAGATAAACGAAATCTTGTCTTGCGAGCCTATACAGTTCAATGTGCACTATGTTTTATTAGTACAAGCACATGTTACTTCAGATCACAGTTCCTTTCTTGGGAGCCGTTATATTTCAACTGTAACCTTTCTTGCGATTACAGAAAGTAGACATGTTTATATACTGTGATAATAGAAAACAAACCAATTTATAATCTACATTACTGACTTGAGTACATGTATCTCAAACAAGTATCTTAAAGCATAATTGGTTAAAAATCATGTCTTGGCATCATTGTACGGTAATTGTCAAGTCATGCCTAATGTTTACTCCATCAGCTTCATTTAAATTTCATATATCATCTAATAATGCAATATGTAAAGTAATGCAATTATTAAAATTTTACAATAAAGTAAGTAAAGTGATCAATCTTTATCTTTTTACATCCATTTCAAATTTTCTTCCATCAGAGAATTAAATACAATTGAAAATGGTAACATATTTCGAAATGGCAATTGCTTACAATGTGTGTAACAAAGGGGACATTAGATCATGCACTGCTATTGCCAAGACTATGTTTATACATTAAATAATAGCACTTTATAGTTCAGAAAACAAATCTGATTGTGATTTATATTTAACTCTGTTATGACATTTAAGCAAAGCAAATATTTTTAAAGCAATAATTTATAACAATTGTTGTAGTTAGTTATATAAGTTTAATCATGTTTTATTGTTAGCATTGTATTAGCTTGGCTTTTAATTTAATTGCTTTGCTTTTAGAATTACAGATTTACACTAGACAATGTTAACTTTTCTCTTTTAATATTTTAGGTATGGTTTCCGTGGTAATCCACAGCTCTGGCTTGTAGCTAAGCCAAAGGTTGGTGAAAGGGAGGTAACTATGAGTCATATCACAGAATGGATAGAGAAAAAATTAGCAATGGAATTCCAGGTAATCAGATTGTTTCTTGTGAGATTAATCTCTTCTATATTCATTTGTATTTAGTTAATATACTTATTATGTTTGGTATATAGTCACAACAGAAAAGGTATATAGTCACAACAGAAGATGTTATATGCAGTGTGGCAACTGTAATAAGTTGTCCCCTGCTTCATCTGTGTTGCTATTCATAATGGATCAAATATTTTAAATCATTGATATTGATAGTGTATTTTATTAAACTAAATTTTCATGGAGTGTGAAAGATGTTATGCTGTTCATATTTTTTTTCTCTCACAAATAGATTCGATAAACGAAAGCCTGTACTTTTTATCTGCTTGGTCAATATTACATTTTGTGATCTTTCCTGTTACAGAATGTCCTTTTCTTCGTAATATGATGAAATGTTTTAATGAAAAAAAAATTATATATGTTTTTATACAGCATGTGTTTGTGATGCCAAACATGGACGACCTTGTAATTCCTATCTTAATGCCAGGAGAGGACGTAGATGCTGCCACTTCCGATGTACCGCAATCCGAGAACGACTTCTAAACTTCAATATTTAATCAGATTTATTTATATTTATACAATATTAACTCTAAAAATAATATTGGAAACCTTAAGTGAACAGTCATTGTGACCACTAGGCCTCGAGGTTATTAAGATTTTTTTCTGAGGCTTCTCTCAAATCTCAAGATTTTCATTGGTCAGTGTACATTCAGTGGGAGTTTCTAACCAATCAAATAACGGAGATTTGAGTTTGAGCTCGGAGAATTTCTTTATATCCTCAGCCCCAGTATAGAGCCAGACTAGGAAGCATTTTCTTGCAGTTTAACCTTGCTGTGATGTTCAATGGACATTGTTAAATCCTCATAATATTTCAAGAGTTGATAATAGACAGTTCAAGAAATCGAGGCTGGACATTGAAGATATTGTGCAGGTTATTAGATGACTCAGTCAAATATTTTCCTAACATTATAAAAATTCGACAATCTTGTATGCCAGTATCTGAAATACTGTCTGTATTGGTACATAGATTTTTGTTTGTTCTATCACATTCATATATTATTACTTTTTATATAACTATACAAAGTTAAAGAAGTGTAAAGGAGACTACTTTAACCAGAAATGTCGTAGAAATACAATCTAATGTCTGATAACAGTTTAACAATATTTTTATTAGGTTTTTAATATGTTGTGGGTTTTTTTCCCAATCATTAAGAAAAAAGAAGAAATGCCATTTGATTTAAATATTGACAGTATGTCTTCATATAAGATAAGAATTATAGAATCAGTACGCTGTTTGGCTCACTCCTTTAGGATACGCACTTATATAATTTCTGGGATTATAATTATTATGGGGGCTTCTGGGTGGGAGAATTTATGTCGCAACGTGGTGGCGCATGATTCATTACCCTAATTTTAGCATTTTACAGTGGCTAGTTTATACACTAAAGTTTTCTATGAATTGGGGAAATGTGGATAATATGATCGCTCTGTCGCACACAGACCATTACAAAAATGTTTGGCAGTTACGATTAAGTTTACTTTGATGTTTAAAATATCCAACTGTTTTATTTCGTAACCAACATTTTGTTGAGACTTTCTGACATACACACTAAGGGTGTTGACTCTTTTAGGACCTGTGATAATATGTTACTTTGAACCTATGAAATGAAGTTGCCCTTATTTAGAGACATTGGAAACATTTTCTGCAATTAATTACCTAAACAATTTCAAAACTTGAACAACAGAAATTTGAAATAGATTTTTTACATTCTTGTCTTTTTTTCTCAGTTTATTACATTTGGAGTTAATGGTGCTAATGTGTAAAGAAAAATTCAGTAAGGTTGTGCCACTATTGAACATTATTTAAGTTCTTTTAGTGTAGATTTGAATTTTCATACTTGAATAGTGTTATAAGATATCTTGAAATTAGATTTGAATATTCATCTTGAAATATTGTAAACAAACTTTTTGGACATAGATTTGAATATACTTTCGGAGGCGTCCATGGCCAAGTGTTTAAGGTGGTTAACTTCAAACCACTTGCCCCTCACTGGTGTGGGTTCTAATCTTGTTGGATCATTTAATGTGAGAAAGCTATCCAGATAGACTACAGAAATTTGATGGTTTTACTGTGGTGCCAGCTTGTGCCTGAAATAATTTAGGCCTACCTCCACCAGTAAAGCTGGAAAGTTGCCATTGGACCTATACTGTGGTGGTAGGATGTAAAACCCAACCAAAAAAAAAAAAAAAATATTTTACCAGCAAATTTTTGAAACTCAGATTTGAATGTTCATTCCAAAATTTTACCAAATTCATTAGAATATTCACACTATGATTTTGTTACCAATTTCCTTTCAACTCAGATTTGAATATTTATTTTGAAAATTGTTATGAAATTCTTTTGACTTAGATTTGAATATTCATTCTGGAAATATTTTGACGGATGTTTTCACTATAGAGATAGTAATTATTGTAAGCAGTTTGCTATTTGATGTCTGCTATTTGATGTCTACATTTCTTGCCTTAAACACTTGCATTAAAGCTTCCAAAGTTTTGTGATTAAATATAGTATGGTGATGGTCCCTTGAAACTAATAAAATGTTTTTACTTTTTACATCAGCTTTTTTTTCATTATGGATATTAGAGCTTGTTTCTTAAGTGGGTTTGTGTATTAACTTAATTTAAGAAGTGAATCATAAACTTTAGGTCCACAACAGGACCTTAAAATTAAAGTTTGTTGTTGTGTTAACCCCTATGGTATTCTTTGGTTTGTTTTGGTTTTCTTTCCTATTTATATTCTGTAAATTATGTTTAGAAATTTTGATTTCATGTTGGTTTCAGAGAAATTCTGATAAGATTTCTTACATTGAATGTTTATAGAGTTCTGAAAATTGTGAGGAGTTTCAGTATGTTTAAACTTTCATATTTTGTGTAAATTGGTTAGAAAATGTACTTGTACACTTTAAAGCAAGAACAAATATGCAATATATTTCTTTTTAAAGCATGGTCAAAAATATAATGTGTTTCACTTTAAAGCAGAAATATATATACAATTTTACTTTAAAGCAAGAACAAATATGTAGTATTTTTTCACTTTTAAGGCAAGAACAGATATTTTATTGCACTTTAAAGCAAAAACAACTACACAATAGATTTCACTTTAAGGAGAGAATAAATATACAATGTATTTCACCCAAAGCTTAAACAAAAATATGGTATGTATCACTTTACAGTAAGACATAATTATATATAATGTATTCACGTTAAGAAGAGAATAAATGTACAAGTTATTTCAATATACAAAATATTTTGTTAAACATGTATCTTATGCAGATTTTTTTTCTTAATTGTTTTCTTTAATTAAGTATTAGTTGTTTTATTTTCTTTTTTGTTACTAGTATTACATACATTTTTGATATATCATGTAACTTTTATGAATGTTAGTAAGAAAATGAGGGTAATTATGTTTCTTGGACATTCCAACATTGTGTTATGTTTACAGATATATTTACAATCAAAGACTTAATGAGCAAATGGTTTTTTTTTGGAGAAAATAAATATTTTTGCGGAAAACTATGTATTTTGGGAGAAAATAAACTACGTTTTATTTTGAAATTTTGAAAAAAAATAATGCTGCCATAGATACTAATATGATCTAGCTTACAAATTGTTCTGATTTTGATATAAATTGAGAATATTTCTTTTACATCAGTTCCTTTTTTTTACAACTTCTTTGAACATATTGAGATATTGAGTTCTGCAGGAATGTTATTTTAAAGCTTCTGATATGTATAGAGCATTTAGACCAGTTGGCAACTTTGTTATATTTCATAAAACAAAGCTTCTGATATGTATAGAGCCCTAGACCAGTTTACAACTTTGTTATATTTCATAAATCTCAAAATTGCTGAAAAATGATATACCTAAGAAAATGTCATATTATATGATATTCTTGCTGTAATAGGATGGATTTGATTATTTCGTCTCTCAATGGTTGTAGGACAGATTCATTATTTATTGCTATGTTTGCATTATTTGCAGGTTTAATGTTCTTTCTATGAGGTGATGTTATATTTATATATTACGTTTATATATACAGTGCCATAAATGTATGTTATTATATTGATGATACAGTTTGTTTATTTGTTTATGGTTATCTAAACCTTCCTAGGTTTAACCTTTTACCCTGCAATGATCGAATTTGCAATTTGATACCCGTATAGAGCAAGGCCAGTCTGCACATCCTAGCCTGGGTTCCAGTCTGTCAATTCTTTTTATGTGTTTCTATTCCGCCAATCAACATATTGTTGATATTATTAAAAACACGAACGAATATGAAATAGCACAAGCAAAAAAATATTAACGCCTGAATCCCAGGCTATGCACATCAATGCAGTCAGACCCGGTTTCATATGGTTGGCTGACAAAACTTTAAATTTTCATCTTGATATCATCTTGATATCCCCAAAATTGATAATAAGACAGTTCCAAATATGGTTGCTGGACAAGTCCATTTAGGAAATTAAGCAGATTAAAGGTTTATTGGTATAGTGGACTAATCCTGCATGGAATAATTGTCTGAACCCACGGGTACTGATTTCGCTGAACTGCATCCATCAAGTGCCAATGAAGTGTATATGTAACTAGTACGCTGGGTTACTGAGGATGGCTTGGATTGTGAACTGTACGTCGTTTATCTGAGGATTTTTTTCATATCAAAGTTTTTAGCTGTATTGTCAGAGTGTATATTTAGCTGGCATTACTTAAGGCATTTACAAGTCATTAACGCCATGTTGAAGGGTTTATTAGTTATATCTTATATTGTTTCTTTTTTGTTTCTTTGTCAGATTGTTTCTTTATTGTTACATTCTTTGCAATGTTGTTTATATAATTGTTGTTGATATTGAACATATTTTATTGTATACATGTATGTACAATTGTTTAATTTTTGTGGCCCTAAAAGCTTTATGGGCATTAGATATAAAGAAAAAAAAAAAAAGTATACAATTTTGCAACCTGAAAATATTATTTGGAATTAGATTCAACAGGTATTCACATTGTCGATGGCAAATCCAGATAAAAACAGCCCAAATTAATGTAAACACTTGCTAAAATGTTCATACTATATTAATATTATTTTCTCGTAATAAACTTTTAGTTATATGTCAGCACTGTGCTGTGATAGATCCCTTGATTAAATGAATTGAAACAGAAAATCTGTGCTAGAAGGCAATAGATTGTTCAAATGCTTTTAGCAAAATGGAGAATAGATCTACATCAATACCAAACTAATTGCCTGCAAGAGAATCGATCATTTCTTATAACAGATGTTAAATTATATCCTTTTATTGTGTTTACTTATTGGTTAAACAGTCCAACTTTTTTTAAAACCAACTTCAAACAAAGATCATCCTGTAAATAAAGGCCATTTTTCCATCAATCCTTCATTGATAAAATAAAGTAACCTTCAAATGAAGACCACTTGTCTATAAAGGCCATGTTTGGTTTCACCTTTGGTTGGCCCTAGTTCACAGGTGTGACTGTACATATACTTTGTTCTGTTTTTGTTCTTAATGAATGAAACTCTCAATATATATGTAGATGGTCTTGTTTAACAGGATGGTATAATTTAATGCACACATATATGAAGGCACATGAGATCTTTCTTCACCAGAAAAAAAAGAAAGCATTGTGATGTAAAACTTAATCAAAAGGAAAATCCTGTTTTCAGAGTTTATTTTTAGCCAAGTGATTTAATGAAAGTGATCTTGATCGTGAAGTTTTGAAGAGTATTTATATTAATATGAACATGATTGTTTAAATCCCCCCACTCAAGTACTTATGTTCATGACCAGATTCTCAATAAAAATTTTATTTGCTTCCTTAATGCTTAAGCAGGCTAATTTTTTGTTAAGTTGATAAATGGACATATATAATACTGAATGCTTGATGTTACAATTATAAACTTAGTTTAGAAAAATAATGCCATTACATAAATTTTAATTGTCAGTTGATTTTGTTAACATGTTTTTGTTTTTCTGAATTTTATTTTGTTGTTGTTGTTTGACTATGCTCAATTAGCATCGTATTTAGGAAATATAGTTATACTATGATATAGTTTCATATTCAATACTTTATTCCAATGACCTGAATGTACCATAGATAAAGTGACATTATGTTCATCAAGTAGTATATAGTGAGAGAAGGTGAAAGTCAAATCAAGATTTATTTTGC